GTATCGAAAATACACAGACAGTTACACAACGCAGCATGCAGTACATTTACATATATATGTATTATATATGCAATTTATATAAGAATAATATTCTGGATAAATCAAAATGAAGTGTTCGCGAACTGAAGCGTAGGCGTAGTTATATGTATATATATATATAAATAAGAAGATCAAATCCAAATGCATAACAGACAAAGGAGAACAGAGGAGAGAAGAGCAAAAAAAAAAAAAAGATTTCGAGTAGGAGAATGATATATCCTGCTGGCTTCTCTTTACGTTTTGCTTGATCTTTATGGTGGCTGCCACATTGGCGGCAGCTGCTGCAGCGGCAGCCGCAGCGGATGCCTGTTGCTGCTGTTTATGCTGCTGCTGCTGCTGGGCCTTCAAATGCTGCTGCTGTTGCTGTTGGAGCTTCTGTTGCTGCTGTTGCTGGTTAGTAGCGGGTTTGTTGTTGTTGTTGTTGTTGGTAGTGGTGGTGGTGGTGTTGGTGGTGGTGGTGGCATTGATAATACTATTATTATTGTTATTATTATTGCTGGATGGGACTGTGGATGAAGTACGGACAATCGTTTTGCGCAGTGCAATGCTAGTGCTGGCGGTAGTGCTGGTTGCTTGTTGCTGCTGTTGCGATTGCTGCTGTTGTTGCTGTTGCTGCTGATGTTGTTGTTGTTGGTATCTACTTACAGCTGCAGCCGGCACAGTTTGCAGACGAATCTGTGTGGTCGTGGGATGGTTTGTGGTGCTTGTCGTGTTGCTGTTATTGCTGGTGTTGGTTATGGTCTGTGTCACCGTCGGCGGACCCGTCGTCGTGCCCACGCGCAACAGCTGGAACCCGTTGTCCGTCTTGACCAACAACGCCGGGGTCTGACCCGTATTAAGTGTGCTTAAAGTTATCTAAAAGTAGAGAGAGAAGACTAGGTTTTCATCTGCTGGACCATGGTGAATGGTGTATAATGGATGGTGAGTGGCGTGAATCTTGTGAATGGTGCACATGCTCTCGTCTGTGAGGAGTGTGTGTGGCTAGGTTAGGGAGCTCTGTGAGTTAGTAGAGAAGAACCCACCACAACCAACCATAGTAATAGCTTCTTTATATATCCCTTTATACTCACCGATGGACTCTGCGGCCTGACGCCCGCCATGTGCGAGTTGATCACCACACGACTGAGCGGATTGGTGGGCACATTCTTCTGCTGCTGCTGCGACGGCGCCTGGTGGCGCATGCCAACCACCACGCCCGCCGGCAGCATCGAGTTGAGCAGCGGTTGACCGGCCTGGGAAATACACAACATTATCATTAGTCAATCGTAATCAATCGATGATCGCTAGCTTATCTCGTCACTCAAAGTCTATTTTGGGGGCAGGGGAAGCATTGAGAGGGGTTGCGGGATTCTAAAATGGCCTACAACATGCAGCAGTTGGCGTTTATCGCTCGTCGGAGGACCCCTGTTTTTAGCCGATTCTTGCTGTGCTGACCAAATTTGAAAAGCGTGTGATCTACTACTGTTGGTTCTATAAGAAGCGAGCATAAAAAGCAATAGTTCTACAAATACAATGGAGTGGATCTTGTATAAAATAAGCTAAAATGTGCTTGCGTTTGTTGGAACAATGGGGGATTTTGTTAGGGATTTTATAGTTTGGGGTGTATTCGATATGTAGTTTACGATTTTATAAACAGAAGATATAACATTTGTGTTTAAAATATAATTTATCACTTTAACAGCAAAGGTAAAACTAAGAGGAAAGGCAATGGAATGGTAAAATGTACAATATTAACTTTAATACAAAAATTAAATTTTAAAAAATCACAAAATGATATTCGGATGATATTTTAAGGATATTTGTAAAAAAAAGTAATGTTTCAAGCCTGGGTTTTACCTCATTTGAGTAGGGCTTTGCAATTTTTAAGAGATAGCCATAGATGATACACAAATTTAATTTTTAAAAATCGCAAAATAATATTCGGATGTATTCTACCTCATTTGAGTTAGGATTTGGAATTTTTAGAGATAGTCATAGACCATACAGAAATCTAATTTTTAAAATGATTTTTTAAGAATATTTTGAGAGTAATGTTTCAAGCCTGGATTTTACCTGATGTGAGTAAGAATCTGGGATTTTCAGAGATAGCAATAGATGATAACCAAATTTAATTTTAAAAAATTACAAAATGATATTTGGAATATATTTTTAAAAAGTAATGTTTCAAGACTGGGTTTTACCTAATTTGAGTAAGGATCTGGGATTTTCAGAAATAGCCATGATACACAAATCTAATTTTTAAAAATCACAAAATATTATTCGGATGATATTTTAAGGATATTTGTAAAAAGTAATGTTTCGAGCCTGGGTTTTACCTCATTTGAGTAGGGATTTGGAATTTTTAGATACGCAAATTACATTTTCAAAAATCACAAAATGATATTCGGATGATATTCAAAGGATATTTGTAAAAAGTAATGTTTCGAGCCTGGGTTTTACCTCTTTTGAGTTGGGATTTGGGATTTTCAGAGATAGCCATAGATGAAAGCGTAATAAAAGTATAAAATACAAAGAGTGTGCGGCCACTACAATCCGATTCGAGCGAGGAGTTGGGAAAGTTTCGGATAAGGATCAGAATTGGACGAGTGATACGCCCGACTTGCGATCGCCTGGCGCCCGAAGCGGGTTTAGCTTTGATGTGGATACCTGATTGATGGTCTTGGTCATGGTTACGATTCCTGCTGGTGCACTTGAGACTAGACCCGCCGGCAGGGTGACAGCATGGTGGTTGGATTTAATAACTAGGGTTTGTGTTTGGGTGGCACCTACGGATTGCGTCTGCTGCTGCTGCGCCTGCTGCTGTTGCTGCTGCTGCTGCTGGACATGATGGACCTGCTGGAGTCCCTGATGCTGACCACCGATGCCCGCCTGTATGGTCTTGATGGTGGTGGTGTTCGGCAGCTGGGCCGTGGATATGACGGCGCCGGGATTGCCGGCTATGTTGATGGTGCCATTGGGCAGCGGCTGGCTGGTGAAGGTGATGCGGTTGCCGGCAGCTGTCTGGCTGGTGTTCATCGTGCTGTGTGTGTGGGGTGTTTTGTGTTTATGTCTCTATTCCTCGGACTTCTCCGTTTGGACGTGTGGGCGCGGGATCCTGTTGCGATCAACTAGTGGCGCACATCCTGTAATGCTGCTGCTGCTGGAGGAGGAGTTCTTGCATGCTGTGCGAACTGCAAGGCAAGGGGAGGCGCTTTTAGTATTTATACGATACGAGGAAGAGAAGTAGGTGGAAAAGCAGGTAGGCAATCGCCTTCACCTTGGCCAGAAAAGCGGGTGCTCCGCTGACTTGGTGCTGCGCTGGCCGTCGCCTTTGCCTTTGCTTTTGCCTTTCTCCTGGCGCATCCGACGTCGTCGTCGTCGCGTGTGTGTTATCTTCGCTAATTCGCTGCTTTGTGTCTCAATGCCCTGGCCTTTTCTACACTTTCCCCGATCGGCGGTTTTTCCTGCGCACACACACACACGCGCGCGCTCGCACGGACTGATTGTTGAGCACTGGAAGAATGCTTTATTTTGATTATTTTGATGTACAAAAAATTTGGCAGCGACGGTGCCAGAACGCCGCCATTTTCACGAATGCGCGTGCAAGGCAAAGCGAAAATCGAGGGAGTCGGGCGTTGCCAGATGGCGGGCGATCTGGCAAGGCTCGCCGTTTATGCGGGTGGACCCGCGCAGTTCGTGATATTCGTTAATGCGGAAGTTTAAATTGTTAACTAGAGCACTTTAAATTAAATATATTTTTGAGTTGGAAAAAATCCTATTTTATGTGTAAACTGCAACCAGATAAAACATTTAAAACATATATATATTAGCTGCCTCCAGTGGCAATATGGAGCATCGTGCCAGCCGTAGTATTAGTAATTTCTACTTTGCGGCCAGCGGGTGGTGGCATAAACCCACGTCCGTGAATGCGCGTCTGTGTGTGTGTGTTTCAGTATCAGCTTTGTACAGCCTGCAGATGTCGGGGACAATTTTTGGGGCCGAGCGGCCGATGCACTCACTTCAATTCATTTTGCGTTCAAACTCGGGGCACTGGGGCGCATTTTAAACGATTTACCGTTGCGTTTCCCCGTCGATTTAGCCGAAAACCGAGTAAATATTGTTTACGGACCGCCGAGGTCGGAGCAGTGTTGCAGTGTTGCTTTCCCCTAAAAAATCCCAAACAGTCGATATGTCGATATTTCCCCTAAAAAATGCTTTCCCCTAAAAAATCTCAAACAGTCGATATTTCCCCTAAAAAATGCTTTCCCCTAAAAAATCTCAAACAGTCGATATGTCGATATTTCCCCTAAAACTGCTCATCACCAGCGTTGCGTCAAAACGTAAGCGCTCCTAATGTTAGGTTAGCGGAGACGCAAACGCGCGGAGACACGAACCAAAAATGACGCAGCGAAATGGTTCGAGTCTAGGCTAAGCGGAGACACGAACCAAAAATGACGCAGCGAAATGGTTCGTGTCTCGGCTAAGCAGATACACGCACCAAAAATGACGCGGCGTTTCTAGTGAGACCATAAAAATAATCCCGAAAACTATCGATATTATTATCGATATTATCTGTGTGGGCCCGCTAACTCGGCGTCACTTTTAGTGAGACCATGTTCAAAACGTAACGATATTGCACACTTACGATTAATCCGAATCGATGTATCTATCTTTTTCCTATCGATGTTTCTCTGCCGGCAACCAGGTGGCAACTCTTTCGGTCGACTGTTTTAAACTGTTTTAAAATTAGAGAAATTATCAAAAATGTTTTGTTTCGATTGGGTTTCCCCAAAGGCAGTACAGTAATCCCCAGTAGAAAGTGAAAATTAGAAATGCCGGCAGCGGCAGAGTTGCCACCCTGTCCCCCTTTTTTACCGGTACTAACGACGTCACGCGCCCATCTCTAGACTTAAGAAGGCATTATACACGAGAAGGAAATTTTCATTTCGCCGAATACAGGTAATTAAATTTGCAATAACTGTGCCCCCCGAAACATGTGCAACTTGTGCCGCAACCGCCGCTAGAAAGGGTTACTCCACGTGTGCGGGCTTGCATGTGGTCGAGACACGCGAAAAGTGCGTCCCAAGTTGCAGGGTAAAAATCGATAGAGAAAAGCGATGAAGGGGAGGGGGGAGCGCTGCTCTCCTTTTTCCAACATGACGTGACTAAGACCACTTTGCATTTACAGCTATAAACAGGCTATTACGCGAAAAGCACATATAAATTCCCGAATCGAAGTCGCATAAATATCAAGGCAGTCGGATAGAGGATAGCTAATGTGAGTAGTAAAATGGGTAAAATGCCGAAATGGTAAATTCGATTTCCCTAATTGCAGCAGACGAAAATGGCCAACAACAACTACGCCGGGTTCAGCTACGGCGGCACCCAGTACAATACGGGCCAGGTTTCGTACCCGGCGGTAACCAATGCCACCTACGCGAATGCGGCCGCCTATCAGAACGCCGCCGTGGCCGCCGGTGGCTACCAGGGGGGTGGTGGCGGCGGCGGTGGAGCGGGCGCAGGCGCCTCCTCGGGATCCGGTGGCTACGGCGGCGGCGGCTATGGCGACTACCGCAGTGCCATGCAATCGTACGACGCCACCAAGACATTCTATCAGCAATCGTCGGCCAGCTACAACGCCTCCGGTTCGACAGCCGCCTCCTCGGTCAGCAAGACGCACTATTCGGCGCCTCCCGTGAAGAATCAAATCAAGGGCAAGATGGACAAGTCATCCAATGGCGGTGGTGGTCCCAAGCCACCCAACTCGGCACCCCCGCAGCCGAGCAACCAGTACAGCGGCTACGATACCGCTCTCTACAATGCGGCCAGCATGTATGTGGCCCAGCAGCATCAAGGCAATCCCAACCAGAAGCCAAATGGCGGTGCCAACAACTGGTATCAGCGCAAGATGGGACCCACTATACCAGGTGCTCCTGGCGCCTTGAGAGGCATGCGACCGAAGGCACCGCCGCGTCCACAGCAGCTGCACTACTGCGAGGTCTGCAAGATCTCGTGCGCCGGACCGCAGACCTACCGGGAGCATCTGGAGGGACAGAAGCACAAGAAGCGCGAGGCCTCGCTCAAGATGTCCGCCAGCGCCACCAGTACCACGCAGAATCGCGGCAATAACTATCATTGCGAGCTGTGCGATGTTACCTGCACTGGGACGGATGCATATGCCGCCCATGTGCGCGGAGCCAAGCACCAGAAGGTGGTGAAGCTGCACCAGAAGCTGGGTAAACCGATTCCGTCGGAGGAACCGAAGAAGATGGGCAAGATTAACTTTGTGCCCGCCGCTGCTGGCGGATCGGGAGGAGGAGCAGCAGGAGCGGCAGGAGCTGCTGGCGCCGCCGGCAAGACTGAGGCGGGCGGCTCGAACGAAAGCGATGCAGCCGGAGACCTGGATGATAACCTAGACGATTCGCTGGGCGAGAATACGGACAACATTAAGCCCGTGGGCGGCGAGTATATCGAGGAGGTCAAGGACGAGGAGGGCAAGATACTGAGCTTCAACTGCAAGCTCTGCGACTGCAAGTTCAACGACCCCAATGCCAAAGAGATGCACATGAAGGGCCGCCGCCATCGACTGCAGTACAAGCGCAAGGTGCAGCCCGATCTGGTGGTGGACTTCAAGCCCACTCCGCGCCAGCGTCGCCTGGCCGAGGCCCGTGCTAATAGGGCCATGATGTCCTCGCATCGCGGCGGCGACGATCATGACGGCAGCTACTGGGAGGAGCAGCGCAACCGGCAGTACAACGAGGAGTATGACTACAACAACTGGATGTCCCGCAGTTTCGGCGGTGAGTTCACTTTTCTTTGGGGTGGGTCAGTGCTCTAGTTTGAAACCACCCCTGTGGATGAAATCCAGGGCATCATTTGCAATGGAAATGATAAATATTTAATAGATTTATACCTTCAAGAAGATGGTTTAATTACGTAATTTTATCTTGGGGCTTCATCCATTTAGTTAAAGTTAAAAAAACAGTCTTCAAAAAAAAACAACGTCAAAAAATTTTGTTTCATATGAAGTTTTTGTTTTGGACGACTTTTTGTTGGGTTGAGTACTAGCCCTAAGTCTTGAACAATTGCTTTTAATGTGATTTTGATATTGTAAAATGAAATACATGCGGATGAAATACATGGCATCATTTGCCATCGAAATCGTAAATATGTAATAGCTTTATACCCCCCAAGAAGATTTAATTACGTAATTTTATGTTGGGACTATCAATTTAGGTAAAGTAAAAAAAAAGTCTTAAATTTTGCATACATTTTTAGTTAGTACATATAACATGCAATTCAAAAGATTTATTATGTTATATTTCATATAGTTTTAAACTTGGGATTTTAAAGCCATTTATGTATTAAATGATATTTTTACATTTTTTAAAAATCTTAGTGATTAGTGATTAAATCGACCTATTTCTAAATGCGAGTATTTACAAATCTTGTATAATTGATTTTAATGTGATTTTGATGTTGTTTATTTATTTATTTTTTAATAAGGCTAACTTAAAGTTAAGTATAATCGTAATTATAATCACTTTGTCCAAGTTTTATTAATCTGTTTGTTTAACTTATGGTGCTAGATAATTATCACCTTTTTTTTGTATATAAAGAAAACAAACCCTTAAGCTTTCAACCTTTTTTATGCTTTAAAATTATAGACATAGATATGTTTTTCAAGTTATAATTAATTCCGTAAACTTTATTACTATTTGGAAAATAAATTGAGATCATGGCTGATTAATAAATATTTTTGAAATTATCTTTGCAGGTGCCCAGCGCTTTGGTCGCATGGGCAATGGACCGCCGCCGCACTTTGGCATGATGCCCGGCGGAAATGTGCGTCGCCCGGAGAGCACCGACGATCGCCATGCCATCGCGCGTCACGCTGAGATTTATCCGAAGGAGGAGGAGCTGCAGACCATCCAGCGCATCGTTTCGCACACTGAACGGGCCTTGAAACTGGTCTCTGATGCCCTGGCTGAGCAGCCCAGCGATGCCGGAGCGGCCAACAAGAAGGATAAGACCGACAAGCCGTCGGAGAAGGATGGACGCGACAACCAGATCTTCTCGTTCCACAAGGACGCCGACAACGGTGGCAATGTGGTGCGCATTCTGAAGGGAGTGATGCGAGTGGGTTACCTGGCCAAGGGCCTACTCCTCCACGGCGACAATGCCGTCGAGCTGGTCGTCCTCTGTGCGGAGAAGCCAACGGCGGGTCTCCTGCAGCGTGTGGCCAATGTGCTGCCCGACAAACTCAAGGAGGTGGCAGGTAAGTTAGAAGAGACGTAGCCTTTGCAAAGCACTATTCTTGAATCACATTTCGGTTGTCCCATTGAGAGGAACACAAAACAGATGAAAACTTTTTCCAGAGAAATGGCTTGAGTGATCAAAGCGGCTATAAGGTCGAGAAAATCACTGAATCATAATCAAAAAAACGAAATATAACACGTTCTTAGCTTGGCCAATTTCATGCTGACCCAGAGCGGGTGAATTTGGCCAAATAAAATGAAATGAAAAGAAAAAAAAAACGATTTTCGGAGCGCTAAAGATGCTAGATGAACGCAACTCACATTCGCTATTCATTACGTTCACCTTCGACGGGCAATTTGTGTGGAAAAAGTCAGCAAAAAACTAAATCAAATCAAAACAAATTAAATTAACTAAAATTATTGTACATAGAAACTAGGACAACTTGAGTTGAGCCCTGTTGTTGCGGTGGATATATGATTGCCACGCCCAACCGCCAAACCGCGCCCAACGCCCCCAGCCAACATAGCAACTAATTGCGAATAAAAACGTATTTGCCGTTTTCAGCTTCTCTCTCTGCAGGATAAGTTTCGAGCCTCGAGCCTTGAAGCTCTGTGAGTCTAGAGAGTCTAGTGACTAGAGACTAGCGTGTGTCGTTCAGTTAGCCGTCTGTAGCCGTAGCTCTCAGCCCTCCCAGGTTGCTCCTCCTGCTGCTACTCCACTCCACTCCGATCAGATCACCACCAATCAGCAACGGATCGTCACGGTAACAAGCGCGGACTCGGTGCCACAAGTTCAGCCCAGCAGTGGTGTCCTTGATGAACAAACCAAATCAAAATCAAAACAAAAACTCTTAACCAACTGAAATTCGAATTTCGAACCAAAGGAATATATTTATACAAAGTTTACTGCGCTTCGCTCCCCGTTTCCGGATGAAACTTTGTGTAAATAAAGTCCTTTGATGGCATGGCCTGGCCTTTGAAGTTGACCAAGACAACAAGACGCCAAGAAGCAATGCGATTGATCCACACACGAGACGCGATTGCCAGTGCTTGAGCCCAAAATTGCAGCGCTAATCCTCGAGGCGCTTCGTCTTTCACTCGAAACCCAAGCAAATATATCTATACAATATAATAACTCGTATACATATATATGTCCAAGCGGCCGAATTGTGTGTATCAAGCTTGATTGTCCAATATTGAAAATATATATAGAATATATTACATGGAGAACAAACTAAACTAACCAACAATCCAAACAATATAATTCCGTTAATTCAAGTCGAAATTCAGTAGAATACAGAAAAGAGTGCGCGCTCTAAGTGGAATTGCAACGGGTGGATGACGCCGAGTCCGAATCCGAATTCTCGAGCTTGCAATTCCGTTTACGAGACCCCGAAAAAGCGGAGATACCGATACCAATACCGAAAACCGATACCGATCCCAGCACGCAAGTCGAACGAATCCCCTGTTTGCTGGGAAGGGAACCGAGCGAATACGAGGATCGTGGGAAGAAACAAACATTATTTGTGCCTTTCATATATATACAATACCGTGCATCAAGTCCCCATTTCAACAATACTATTCTATTGTTGCTAATCACTATTTTTCGTGCATTTTGCGGGCCCACACTGGAATTTTGCTTCACCCACAATGTTTGTCTCTTTTTCCAAGTCGAATCTAGTATTTCGATGTTATTTATGATATATTTTTGAGAAGCCTTTAGTGACATTTGGTTTTTCTCCTTTGCTCTCTTGTTTTCAGGCGACATTCAGGTCAATTATCGCGTGGAGGTCAACGCCGAGGAGGCGGCTTTGATCGTGCTGGATGAGGCTGTTTCGGTCAAGATAACCCTCACTTCGCCCCTGCTGCGCGACACCAATCCAGGAGACCCGTCGACCAGCGAGGATGGCGAGGGCGATGCTGAATACTTGGCCCGTGAGCCGTGTCTGCGTGTAAGTATCCCCTTGAATTTAATTGAAAAAGACATCCATCATCATCTCATTCCTTGAAAAATCCCAAATTAAGTTCAAAATCTTAATTCAAATATTAAATAATAATGTATCTAATTCGTGAGTTAACTTGAATCACTTGTTTCACTTGATTTCTCGTAAGGAAAAACAAGTGATACAAGCACAGAATAAAAGTGAGTGGGAGTGATAAAATTACTAAGCAAATTATTTACGTTTCGAAATTATTTTATATCTATTTATTTTATATTAAATCACTTGTTTTTCTTTATGAAAAAATCAAATGAAAAAAAGTGCTCCAAGTTAACTGATTTTAAAAATTGACTTTCAAGTATACTCATGCAGGACTCTACTGAAGGCCTTAGCTGCTAGAGCTCTTAATCTTAGTTAGCTTATAGTTATAACTTTAAGTTTGCTTTATATAAATAAATAAATAAAATAAATAGACATCCAACTAATTAAATTTATTTTCTATACAGGCCCTGGCTGACTTGCGGCATGCCAAGTGGTTCCAGGCTCGCGCCACTGGCCTCCAGTCGTGCGTCATGGTCATTCGCATCCTTAGGGACTTGTGCCAGCGCGTGGCCTCCTGGCAGGCGCTGCCCCAGTGGTCGTTGGAGCTGCTCGTCGAAAAGGTGATCTCCTCGGCCGGCTTTCCCATCTCACCCGGCGACTGCATGCGCCGCATTATGGAGGCTCTGTCCTCGGGCTTTTTGATCAATGGTCCCGGCCTGCTGGATCCCTGCGAGAAGGATCCCACAGACGCCCTGCTCGACTTGACCAAACAGGAGCGGGAGGATCTCACCGTGTCGGCCCAGCTGTTCCTGCGCTACATTGCCTTCCGGCAGATCTACAAGGTGCTCGGCATGGAGCCGCTGCCGGCCATGAAGTTTCCCATGCGTCCGTGGCGCATCAACCGCAAGCGTCGCAGGTCGTCGGGCAAGGCTGGTGGGCCGCCCGGCGGGGAGACCGGAGAGTCCAATGACATCGACGAGACCGGCTCCGATGAGAAGGTGGCCAAGAAGGAGGGCGCCGGCGGCTCGGGCTCTGGAAGCGCCTAAAATAGTTTATATACACGTAGTCGGCTACTAATATTACAATTTCTCTCAAGATAAAAACACTTAACACTTAACTATAACCAACTATTATCTCTCCACGAGTATTCAAACCAACCTCTGGGGCACAAGGAGCTGCGCATGTCCAACATGTTGCCCGGTTGGCAATTAGAGAAACCCCCCTATAAACACAAAAACCTTTAACTAACAATATTTAGCGGATCATACAACTTGTATTTTTCTAGCATTAGTGCAACGGAAGGCAATGTATTCAGTTTAGATGTGAACATCTCGGCCCTCACACGATTCACACACATATATATAAATACATGAACGAAACGGATTTTAATAAAACGTAATGAACAACTATAATGATTGGGATATTATTATTTATTCGCCTAGAAATCGTCATTTTTGTGAGGGTTCTTAAAGGAGGATCCTTTAATACTATTTATTATAATGTTCTCTTTATTTATTTTACAAAATCAGCAATATGTTTATAAGAAATCATTCCATTTCGAGCAACTTTTCTTGTTGACAGCTGGTAGATTTTCGGCAGGACGTTTGTTGGACCTTGGAACCTTGTTCCTGGATTTATTAAAGTTCATGGGGACTTCCTCGAATAGTTCTTGGTTTTGATTTTGTATTTCCGAAGGATCTGCTGCAGTTTTTTTAATACTTTCAATTGGTTCATCCACATAGTTGGCCCATTTGTTAGTTTGTTTCTTGGGAGGAGTATCCTGTTTTTCAAGGCTGTTTTCCTTCTGCTCCTGTTGCTGCTGGGCTGTGAGGAAAAGATCCTCCTTCAGTTTTTCCTCCCGCATTCCACGCTCTAAATTTAATTGTTGTACCTTGGCCCGGCATTCTGGTCCTGAATTTTGAATTATTTCAAATTATTTTTAATATAAAGTATAAATATAATACAAATATAAGTACCTGATCCTTTGAAGAACTCCTTGAGCAAATCCTGCTTCTGTCTGCAAATCTTACACTGCCATTTATTCACTTTCTTCACAAAGTCCACCTAAACGGAAAAGAATTTATTGAGAATTGGTATTAAATGGAGTTATCTGAGCACTCACCTGGTACATTTTGCATTGAATGCATTGCAAGACTCGGATTTGCTGGGACATTTTTAAAGCCTGGTTAAAAAACAAAACAAATTAAAGGCGCCTGGAGAGACCAGGGATGGATAATAACAATTACTGGAACTAGTAATTTAAAAGTAAAACTTTTATTAAGCTAATATACAGCTAATTTTAATATTTCTTGAAATATATTTATTTAATATTTATTATACCTTTTCCGGAACTAGTGACTCCGGTTCCGCAGCGAACCAGTCGTCAAGCAATGATTATCCATCCCTGGTCCAAAATATAAACAAAGCTGCAGCGTTTAATTTGAAGTCACTGCGATTAGTGGTTTCTAAAAATGCGTTTGGTAAGTCATTCCGGCAATTAAGACCTTCCTATCAGCGGAGGTGACTCTCCACTTTGCATCCACAGTACTGTCTCAGCGGGGACCTGGCCAAGCCATGCTACATCATCACCTTCAAAGGCCTGCGGATCATGCTGGATTGCGGCCTCACCGAGCAGACGGTGCTCAACTTCCTGCCGCTGCCCTTCGTCCAGTCGCTGAAGTGGTCCAATCTGCCCAACTTTGTGCCACCGCGGGATCACGATCCCCAGATGGACGGCGAGCTGAAGGACTGCTGCGGCCGGGTGTTCGTGGACTCCACGCCGGAGTTCAATCTGCCCATGGACAAGATGCTGGACTTTAGCGAGGTGGATGTGATACTTATCTCGAATTATCTTAATATGTTGGCCCTGCCGTACATCACGGAGAATACGGGCTTCAAGGGCAAGGTCTATGCGACTGAACCAACGTTGCAGATTGGCCGTTTTTTCCTGGAGGAGCTGGTGGATTACATCGAAGTCTCGCCAAAGGCCTGCACCGCTCGCCTCTGGAAGGAGAAGCTCCACCTGCTGCCCAGTCCGCTGAGCGAGGCCTTTCGGGCCAAGAAGTGGCGCACCATCTTCAGCCTGAAGGATGTCCAGGGCAGCCTGTCCAAGGTGACCATTATGGGCTACGACGAGAAGCTGGACATTCTGGGCGCCTTTATTGCCACCCCGGTGAGTTCGGGCTACTGCCTGGGCTCCAGCAACTGGGTGCTGAGCACGGCCCACGAGAAGATCTGCTATGTGAGTGGCTCCTCCACGCTGACCACGCATCCTAGGCCTATTAATCAATCGGCACTGAAGCACGCCGATGTGCTCATCATGACGGGATTGACGCAGGCGCCGACTGTGAATCCGGACACCAAGCTGGGCGAGCTGTGCATGAATGTGGCTCTGACCATCCGGAACAATGGCTCCGCCTTGATACCCTGCTATCCCTCTGGCGTGGTCTACGATCTCTTCGAGTGTCTCACGCAGAATCTGGAGAATGCCGGGCTGAATAATGTGCCCATGTTCTTCATTTCCCCCGTGGCCGACAGCTCGCTGGCCTACTCGAACATCCTGGCCGAATGGCTCAGCTCGGCCAAGCAGAATAAAGTTTATCTGCCGGATGATCCGTTCCCTCATGCCTTCTATCTGCGGAATAACAAGTTGAAGCACTATAACCATGTGTTTTCCGAGGGCTTCAGCAAGGATTTTCGACAGGTATTACTTCGGTTTTATAGTAGTTAGAGCCCTGCATGAGTGGATTCAATGAATTATCTAGAATTTTTTGTTTTATATGAATGAGTTAATAAGAATTTTGAGTTTTATAGAATTGCATGAATTTGAATTTTGAGTTTAATAGAATTGAATGAATGAATAGCATGAATTCCGAAATAATTCAAACGACAATTTCTTTTAAAGAAGAAAGGGCCATAAGTTTGTGATTAAATATGCCTGAATTTTATTTACTAAGCAGTTAACATTGATTTGTTAAAAATTGTCCACTTTTTGTTCTCAAAAGAAAGCACAAAAAAAATCTGACAAATTAAAAAAATTCATAAAAATTATTCTTTCATTCATTCAATTCAAAATGAATTAGATAAACATTCAATTTATTTCACATAGAACTGAATTAAACAAATCCGAAATTTCAGGACTCTATTAGTAGTAACCATTTTGTAATTCCCTTTCCTCTTTTTTAGCCCTGCGTGGTTTTCTGTGGGCATCCCAGCCTGCGTTTCGGCGACGCGGTGCACTTCATCGAAATGTGGGGCAACAATCCCAATAACTCTATAATCTTCACGGAGCCGGACTTCCCCTATTTGCAAGTACTGGCGCCTTTCCAACCGCTTGCCATGAAGGCCTTCTACTGCCCCATCGACACCTCTTTAAATTATCAGCAGGCCAATAAGCTGATCAAGGAGCTGAAGCCAAATGTGCTGGTCATCCCGGAAGCCTATACAAAACCGCATCCCTCGGCGCCGAATCTGTTCATAGAACAGCCGGACAAGAAGATAATCACCTTCAAGTGCGGCGAGATCATCCGGTTGCCTTTAAAACGCAAGCTGGATCGAATTTACATCACCTCGGAGATGGCCCAAAAGATATCGCCCAGGGAAGTGGCCGCCGGAGTGACTTTCTCAACGCTGACTGGCGTGCTGCAGGTAAAGGACAAGGTCCATTGCATCCAGCCATGTGCGGATAGCATTAAAGAAGAGACCTCCAGCTCAAGTGCCAGCGCTCCCACTAAGGAAGATGTGCTAAAGAACGTAAAATACGAGTACGGTAGCATCGATGTGGAGGCGGTGATGAAGCGGTTGACGCAGGACGGCTTCTCCAACATCAAGTTGGACCGCACTGGTGGCGCTCTGACCCTAAACCTGGTCAACGAGGATACGGTCATCAAGTTCGAGGACAACGAGACGCACATCATTTGCGGCGGCAAGCCAACCACTCGTCTCAAGCTTCGGGATACCTTAATGAAGTGCTTGCAGAGTTTTTGAAAAACATAAATGTATTCCTTAAACCTAAAAAACAACGCTTTGATCTTAGATCTTTACATTCAATACCGCAGAGCAACGTTGACAGGTCTCCTGCTCTGCATTCTCCTCTAGACTGTAACGACGACAACGTGGACACAGCGATGTCGGGAGAGTAGTTAGGCTTAACTCCAAGTCGTGATTATCGGAGGGTAGCAGAGTAACAGAACCCACTTGCAGAATCTCACATAGTTCAGAATTTCTTACAGTTTCTCCCGAAGTGCTGTGAATTTTCTGCAGCAGATCCAGCTTACTTCCCTTGATAATCACATCCAAATGCCAGGTGTTTACCTCGCCAGCCTGCTGGTTAATGAGTCGCTTTACATCGAGCGCTGCATTTACCACCGCAGTGGCTTTTGCGTCACTCCATTCAGCTTTACTTTGAACACTCTGCTCATGGAATGCTCTGCCGTTGGCATCGTAGTAGCTCCAGCTTTCCTCCACCAGAAAGGGAACAATGGGCCATAGGCTTTTGCAGAGCTGCCGGTAGCAATGAGTGAGAGTCTGGCGAATGGCGAGCAGCTCCTGATCGTCGCCGCAATAGAGGCGATCCTTGATGAGATGCACGTAGATGGCGGACACTTGATTGGCGAGGAAGTTTTGCACGCAGGCCACCACGCGATTGTACTCATAAGCTTTGTAAAGCTTCTCTACCTGAAAAGGAGTGGAAATGTTGTTTAAAAATTAAGTTAAACAAATGTATTTAACAAGTTTCCTACCTCGGCTTCAAACTCCACCAACTGGCTCCGCAAATAGCGATTAAGGTAGCTCTTTTCCGGAGTTGTTAGGAGCTCTTTGTTCGCTTGCCTCTCGCCAATCACTCCCTTTAGATACCTTAAAGTACCACGAACCTTGCTCAGATTCTCAGCCGCCTGCTGCAGCAATTTGTCGCTGACCGTGATGGACATGTGTTGGGTTCCATGGGAGGCCACCCACCAACGCAGGGTATCTGTGCCATACTTTTTGGTAATCTCCTTTGGGGAAATTACATTTCCCAGCGACTTGGACATCTTGTAGCCCTTCTCGTCCACCGTAAATCCGTGTACAAAGAGCGATCTAAAAGAGGTTTAGAAGCTTTCTTGTATATTATATGATTCCTACTCACTTATAAGGAGCCACTCCTCGTGCAGCGATGCTCATCAGCAGGGAAGATTGAAACCAGCCGGTGAACTGGTCATATCCCTCCAGATAAAGATCGGCTATCTTATCCCCTTTCAGCACTGCGGACCATGTGCTGCCAGAATCGAACCAGATGTCCAATATATCGCTTCCCTTGACGAGATCTTTGGCTGCGTAACCAAGTTCACTGAGTATAGAGGCGGGCACAAGCTCCTCCAACGACTTGGCCCACCAGAAGTCGATGGAGCCCTCTTGGCGTAATAGTTGGCAGAGGTGTTCGATGAGGGCGGTTGAGAGTACCACCTTTCCAGTCTCCCGAGAATAAAGCACAGGAATGGGAACTCCCCATGCCCGCTGACGGGAGATGCACCAATACGGTCTCTTTTGGAGCTGCGTAAGCAGAGCTTTCTTGCTGGCCTCCGCATTGGTTCGCGGGTAGATTTCCACCTGCTCCAAGGCCTCGGCAGCCGTCGACTTCAGCTTCTCCGTGTTGATGAACCACTGCTCGCTGGCGCGAATTATCACAGGCTGCTTGGTGCGCCAGTCAATGGGATAGGAATGTTCCATTGTGGTCGAGCTCACTACATCGTTTGTTATATGCTCAAGAACTAGAGGATTGCCTTGTTCCAGCACGGATTTTCCGCGTAAAAAAGGAGGAGCTTCCCTTGTGTAAATGCCCTCTTCATTCACCAAACATTTCACGGGTATTTTTCTGGACAGGCTGACCAGGAAATCCTCTGGTCCATGGGCAGGAGCTGTGTGCACCAATCCCGTGCCCTTGCTATCCTGCACGTGGCTGGCGTCGAAGAAGGGCAGCTGCGACTGCTCCTGGTCGATGGGATGTTTGTAGCTAAGCCTGCTTAATGAGTCGCTATCCACATCCTGCACTACTTCACATTTCAGCTGGGTCTTTGCCTCAAAGTCGGCCAAAAGAGCAGAGGCCATGAGATACAGCTCATCCGCGGGATGATCGGATAGCCTGACTAGAACATACTTCAAGGAGGCGTTGTAGCAGATGGCCTGATTACTAGGCAATGTCCAGGGAGTCGTAGTCCAAACGAGGGCATATATTCGCTTATCCTGCGCATCAAAGAGCTCATCTCCATTGAGGGCAAATCTCACATAAACCGAGGGACTTGTGTGATTGGGATCATATTCCAGTTCCGCTTCGGCCAAAGCTGTCCTAATCGAATATTTTTGAATTAGAATTAACTATTTTAAGGTCTCTCCCACTCACCTGGATGAAGGTGACCAGTAAACTGGCTTCAAGTCACGATAGACCAGTCCTTTCTCATATAGATTGTGGAACATTTGCAGCTGATTGGCGATGAACTCTGGCTGGAAAGTCATGTAGATGTTATCCTTCTGCCAGTTGGCCAAGATGCCCCAGTTGCTGAACTCCTCCTTCTGCGATTTAATGGCCTCCAAGGCGAACGAGCGAGCTGTTGATTATCATTATATATTATTAAGTAGCTGGAATCAAGGGGAAAACCCTCACATTTCTGCCGAATTTCCAGGGCATTTTGATTAGGAGCGCTGCTAGTGGCCTTCAGTTCGATGGGCAGGCCATGACAATCCCAGCCGGGAATGTAGTTGACCTGCTGGCCATGAGCCACCCGTTGGCGCAGGGTGATATCCTTCAGGATCTTGTTGACGGCATGGCCCATGTGGAGTTGTCCATTTGCATAAGGCGGTCCGTCGTGGAGGACAAAGGTGGGTTGACCCTTCCCCGCCAGCTGCTGTTCCTGGTACTCATAGGAAGGGGCAATCTTCTTCTGAAAGACGATATGCAGATATATAATGGGTAATTTGGTTACTTCACATATCCCAAAACTTGCCTCCAAAATCAGTCGTTCCTGTTCCTCACGTTTCGCTGAAGTCAGACGGTTGGGAAACTTGGTCTTCGGCAGGTTGATGGTGTCTGTATATTTTTTTGCATCTTTTTTAGCCGCTTTCACTGAATATAAGCGAGTTCCAAGGCGAAAATTTAAAAACCTTAGCATTTTGAAGAAGAATAAGGTAAAACGTAACACCAGCCGGCAAAGTGAAAAACATATGTTTATGTGGAACGTAAGCACTGTTCACATGTGTTTATAGGGAACGTAAGCACCGTTCACACTGCTCTCGGCGTGGATCGTAAGTTCAAAAAGGTTCGTTACATTTGACGGATTCCATAGTCACACTTTTTATCATAACTCATTTTTTACAAATGTATTAATTTAAAATTAATATTTAAAATAAATGTGAATAATATCCTTTCCTCTTCGCACATTTTGCCAAATGGAAATGGTGTTTCAAAGTGATATTCATCATTCTAAATTCTTAATTAACCCCTAAGATAATTTTTTTTTAAAAATTCGGCTGGCCAAACTCCCAATATCGAACGCAATTCTTAAAAATGTTCTTACTTTGGGTTCAATTTTTAAAATTTACCATATAAAAACTAATATTCCGATTACCGAAAAGAGGTTAATAAATTTTATTTTATATAGGGTTTATAAAGTTATTTTTGCGATTATACAATTACAAAAGTAACATTTTTTTAAAGTTATTAACAAATAACTAAATTCGTATTAAGGTTTCTTAGGAAGAATCACCATTCGAATTTATTTGTCCTTCTTTTCCTCATCCTTCGACTTGTCATCCTTTGACTTATCATCCTTTGACCCTTCCCCCTTGGGCGGTTCCTCCTTCTTGGCCTCCTCCGGCTTGGCCTCCTTTTTCTCCTTTTCATCCTTCTTGGACTCACCCTCCTTTTCCTTTTCCTTCTCCTTGCCGCCCTCGGCCTTCGGTGGAGGAGGAGCATCGCCCGACATGGTGGCGGCCAGCTGGGTGGCCTTGGCCAGCACCTCCTCCGCATCGCCGACCATGTAGAAGGCGATCTCGGGAATATCATCGTACTCCCCATTTAGCAGCCTCTTAAAGCCCTCCACACACTTCTCCACCGGCACCAACTTGCCCGGATGACCGGTGAAGATCTCGGCCACTTGGAACGGCTGCGACAGGAAGCGCTGCATCTTGCGGGCCCGGGCCACCGTTAGCTTATCATCTTCGGACAGTTCATCCATGCCCAGAATGGCGATGATGTCCTGCAGCGACTTGTAGGCCTGCAAGGTCTTCTGAACCGCTCGCGCCACATTGTAGTGCTCCTCGCCCACCACATCCGGATCGAGGATGCGCGAGGAGGAGTCCAAGGGATCCACGGCCGGATAAATACCCAACTCGGCGATGGGACGTGAAAGTACAGTGGTCGCATCCAAGTGGGAAAAGGTGGCCGCCGGAGCCGGGTCACTGAGATCATCGGCGGGCACATAGACCGCCTGAACGGAGGTGATGGAACCATTGCGAGTGCTGGTGATCCGCTCCTGCATGGTGCCCATATCGGTGCCCAGAGTGGGCTGATAACCCACCGCCGAGGGAATGCGTCCCAGCAGGGCAGACACCTCCGATCCCGCCTGGGTGAAACGGAAGATGTTATCGATGAAGAGCAGCACATCCTGGCCATCCACATCGCGGAAATACTCGGCGATGGTCAGTCCGGTGAGGACCACGCGGGATCGAGCGCCCGGTGGCTCGTTCATCTGGCCAAAGACCAGCACCACCTTCGAGGAATCATCCTCCGTGGAAATCACCTTCGACTCGATCATTTCGTGGTACAAGTCATTCCCCTCGCGTGTCCGCTCTCCTGCGCCCACGAACACCGAGTAGCCGCCATGGGACTTGGCTATGTTGTTGATCAGCTCCATGATCAGCACCGTCTTGCCCACGCCGGCGCCTCCGAACAAACCAATCTTGCCGCCCTTCACGTAGGGAGCTAGAAGATCGATCACCTTGATCCCAGTCACGAGGATCTCGGGCTTCACGCTCAGATCGGTGAGCTCGGGTGCCTCGTTGTGGATAAAGGAGTAGTAATCGGACTTAATCTCCCCGCGATCGTCGATGGGATCGCCCACCACGTTGAGGATGCGCCCCAGGACCGACTTGCCCACCGCCACACGGATGGGATAGCCGGTGTCGATGACCGGTTGACCACGTCGGAGGCCTTCGGTGGAGTCCATGGCCACGCAGCGGACGATATTGTTGCCCAGGTGGTGGAAGACCTATGATAGTTGTATTTAAAGAATTTAAAATCTTAAAAGTTAGTTATAAAATTACATAAATAGTATAATTAACACATAAATTATGTAAATAAAAATTTTTTTTTCAATTTTCTGTTTAATTTTTAAAGAAGTCTTATTTAGGAAAAGATATTTCTTATAAAAAAAAACGATTAAAATTGTGACTTACCTCCAGCACCAGGTTGTCAATGGGAGCATCCTGAACCTTGAGGGCATTGAGCACCTCAGGGACCTCCTCCTCGAAGTACACATCGATGACGGGTCCGATGACAGCATGGATGACTCCCTTGCGACCCTTGCTCTCCAGAACTTTGCCTCCGCCGCCCGGCTTCTCATCCTCACATTCATCCTTCGCCTTAACCTCACACTCGTCCTTCTCCTTAACCTCACATTCGTCCTTCTTCGGCTCGCACTCATCGCTCGACTTGTCCTTATCATCCCAAAGCGACGAGGATGCGTGCAAGGAGCGGGCATGGATGGGAAGCTGGGCGAAATTACCCAGGTAGCTTCCGCCATGAACCCCGTTTGCCTGGCCAATCCTTAGACCAATCCTTGCACATGCTACTATGTTTTTTTTTTTTCAGATAAAGCTGAGCTGATATAATCGTCATATTCTTACCCGTGGCCACCTTAGTCAATGTTCCCAACATTTCTTATAAGTTCAGTTTTTCTTTTTGCTCCTTCGACGTCTTTGCTGCAAATAAATTTTGCTTATAATGACAACTTCCTTTGACAGATGCCAAGAAAGCCTACTAAAACCTATATTTCTTAAAATTTACCGTAGAGATTTTTATGGGTTTTGGGTTGTCACCTATTTTGGTGCAAGGTTATTAGTTTTCTAACACTTATAGTAGAGTTGCAATCTATTAAATAAAAAAAAAATAATTTGTTTAAGTGTTTTAACCAGATTTATATTACAATTCAGAATTTTCTTTCAAATTTCTATAATTTATGATCGAATGATAAAATATGATAAAAAAGAGTTTAATAAATTAATAAATATACATAAAAAGAACACTTTTTGTAAGGTTTCAATCTACTAAATTAAACAAATTAAATTTGTTTAAGTTTTTTATATTAAAATTCAGAATTTTCTTTCAAATGAATACCTAATTTTCATAATTTTTTTCTTATAATAAAAAAAGGGATAATGAATTAATAAATATACATAAAAACAACATAAGTAGTTTAAATGAATAACCGATCTCCTGAAAGTTTCAGTATTCCTAAGGGTTGAATCAGGTGTTACCTAGGTTACCGATAGCCAAGCGCTGGAACCAAAACAGTAATGCTCATTAGTTTATAGAAAATGGACGTACTATCGCATTACAGTTCCCCCGTAGTTGAATTTCCAGCCACTCAGCCCCTGGAAAAGCAATATGCCCTGGTGGATAACTGCACGGGCACGGATCCACCGCCGCCCAGCAAAGATGCCACCACGGGAACGCAGGAGCAGATGCATGTGGCCACCCAAACGGAGCAACGATTGGCTAGCAGCAAGGATGTGGAATACGACGAAAGGGCTTTGGCCAAGTTCCTGCGACAAGTTTGTCCAGTGATGGAGCGGGAGCTATTGAATCCCACTCCCCTGATGGAAGATCCAACAACGATGCAGTGCCGCTTGGAGGAGGAGCTGCAGGTGTACACCTACCAGAAGTTGTCGATGGGAGGTGTGGAAAACTCCCAGGGACTGGCCATCTGGCTGTGTGTGCACACGAATAATGCTCCTGTTTTGGTGGCCACCACGGTGGCTCCCCATGATGACTGGTGCGAGCATGTGGATCAGCAGCTTAAGCTGTTCGTTCCCCAGCGGATGTCCAATGGCAACCTGGTAATCTACGCCGAAGCCAAAGTTCTGCCCTTGAAATCATGCCTGCGAAGTCTGAGCACTAATCCATTCAACAAGACAATGTTTGCGGGTTCCACGATGGATGGAGAGCTCTTCATCTGGTTATATGAGCAGGCCAGAGGTGCCGCCGATTCCAGCGTGGATATCAAACAGCTCTATGGGGTATCTTCCACCCAGGGAGCAGCAGTTGCTCTCGACTGGCCGAGGGAACACCTCCTGCTAGCTTGCTATGCCAATGGCAGTGTAAGACAATGGGATCTGAGCAGGCAGATGACTCTGGATTGGGAGTGAGTACTACTGAACAGGGAAATAACGGAAAATAACACACACTGTAAAAAACTTGTGTTATTAACAAGTTAAATGTCAAAGTGTTAAGTTCAAAAGAAGTTATTGACTTGTGTGTAAAAAATTGTATCTTACATTTGTTAGAAACATGCTTTGAAATGGTTCAAACTAACATATAAGACTCGTTAATGTCAGTAATATGTAATTTTCATTTATGTAAAAAACATGTCGTGTTAGTAACACATTGTGTAAATAACACAAGTGAGCTGTGTGTGTTAACAATTATTTTTCACATTGTTAAAATATCTTAAAAATAATAATTACTTAAAAATATCAACTCAATGTGACTAGTGCGATAATTATAAGTGTGCACTTGTAGCGCTGGGATATTAAATAAATAAATTAAAATTAAATTTTAATCCTTTTATTTGACAAACATGTCAACAATTTTGCTCTCACTGTAAAATAGAATTTTTCATGTTTTTAGCACGTGTGTCAATTTCCGTACCCTGCTACTATAGTTATAATTCTGTTTTAAAAGTGCTAAAAAATCGTATAACATTTAATGAACTCCCTTAGATACTCCCTGCCCGCCTCGGTTACCTCAGAGCCCACAGCTATGGTGGCCCTAGGACTAGATGATTTCGTGCTGGGCACTAACGATGGTGGCGTCTACCGCTGCTGGAGCACTGGACGTCATGCTGCAGCCACCAAGCAGATCCAATTGCTGGCCCTACGGCGACATCGTTTCATGGTCTCCACGCTGCTCCGAACAGAGATGGGAGGCAACCAGTTCGTCCTCAGCTGCGATCTCAGTGGACAGGCTTTCTATCACGATATGCGACTTGTGGATGAGGTCAGCACATGATCAACATAATTGATTGACTTTTAAACATTTTGTTTCAAATACTAAACAGGATATGGCTCAGTTGATAGTCCAGATCCCATTGCCTTTTAAGAACGTCGTCGCTTGCAGTCGGGATGGTAATGTGATCTACTGCCCAGCCAATGATGGAGCACTTGAATACTACCGGGTGAGCGATGGAGCCCATGGCCATGTCAATGGAGGACTTCGAGGCAAAGGTAGCCTTATCCGAAGCAGCGACAATGGGTAAGCTAAATATAAATTACATATAAATCAAAATGATATCAGTAAATCGTACAAAAATTGCCTTACAGTCGCTGGTTAATTTCCGGCCTCTACGGTGATGAGTTTCAGATTTTCTACGTGGAGTATTAAGAGTCACATTCGATTTTGTTCTCAAATAATCGCTTGTATTTGCATGACTGCTTATATGAAAGGATTCATCATCTCTTAGAGTTGCTATTTACACGAGTTTATTTTAAAATTTCTCAGATCTCTAACAAATACCACATGTAAATATAGACTATATATTTTGTATAAACAATAGTTTCTCTGTGTATAATTTCGAACAAAATGCACAAAAAATGAAAGCCATTTCGAAAATATTGCGTAAAATAAGACTGTTTCTTCTCGAGGATCTCGTTAAAACGGCGCTGTCTTCAAACGATTCACAAAATAAAATTGTATCTATATTAACTACCGATCATTCCATAGTGTACACTCTTTATCAGGCTCGAGGGCTAGCGAAAAAACATATAAAAAATAATATGTGGTGTGTAGAAAAAGTGTGTTACAATGACATAATTACAGAATGGCAATAAATGTATATGCTTTATAACCATTTGCCTAGAGTAAAATAAATTATACAACTAACATTAACGAGATATATAAATATATAATAGAACTGCACACAATTTTGCTAAATCTCTCTTCCACGTTCGAACGTCCGATCCTAACTGTCCTAATCACGCGATTCCACTCTAATCCACTTCAGTCCAATTCGCATACACACGTTCAACTTTTCACTTAAGCTTAGATTGCAATCTGCTCCTTGCACATATCAAATATTGTTGTTTTCGCGATAGTTCACATAATAATAACTAGAAGCAGCGCTCGCCCAGCTTCTTCTGATTTGCCGATAAATTCAGTTGAAGAGCACCGTATTGGGGTCTTCATTATCCATCTGCTTAACGTGGCGCAGCACATCTTTCTTGGTTATGACTCCGAGTAGGCGACTGCAATTAATTTAGGATTATATCACTTGTTACTCATCATTACTGTCTCAAAAACCTACCCATTGTGTGTTACTAATGTCTGGCGAAGTCCCAGCTTGCGGAACATGTCCACCACCGTTTCCATGGGCGTTTGATCGGTCACCGTGATCGGCGCCATATCCAAAATCTTTTTCAGTTTAAGCGGCTGCGGGCCCAGATTCTGAATCGGCTGGGTCGAGGTAAATAATACTATGGAGCTGCTGCTGATTCCCTCAATCAGACGCTTGGCATTACCTTTAAAAATAGATGGTATTAGTGAAAAATGAGTGGAAAAATCAGAAATAACTCACCTATGGCCAAGTTAAGATCCCTGCGCAGCACAAAGCCCACCAAATATTGATTCTCCCGGGACACCACCACTGGATATCCATTGTGTTCAGTTTCTTTTAGCAGGTTCTCCACATCGTCCACCGTCATGGAGTCTTGGGTAATGACATTCAGAGTTTCATTGCGCCTGAAAAGGGGAGTTTTGATTAGCAAAAATCGGAAATATAAACATATTTTAGCACTCACTTTGGCTGCATTACATCCGCCGCCAGTGTTGTGTGCGCAAACTCCTCCTTGCTGTCTAGGAACGGATAACCATTCAGCGCTATGTGCGCATCGTAGATACCTTGCCGGCCAAGGGCATCGCCCACCCACTTGGAGGCCATGGCAGCTGCCATCAGCGGCACGATATACCTCACACCGCCGGTCAGCTCAAACATGATCACCACCAGAGAGACGGTCATGCGGGTGACGCCTCCCAGCACGGCTGCTGCTCCCACAACAGCATACAATCCAGGAGTAATAAGATTGCTATCCGCACATTCGCCGGTGAAGAACCAAATGTTGGGGTAGCTATAGGCAAACTGTTCTACGCCAATTCCAACAATTCGACCCATGATGGCGCCCAGCAGCAGGGACGGAATAAACAGACCAGCCGGCACTTTCATGCCAAACGTAAAGATGGTTAGGGCCAGTTTGAGTATAAAGGTGAGCATCAGCAGCCAAATGGAGCTGTAGACACCGGAACCTGGCTCCGTGACCTCAATGATGGTGTTGCCCGTCGTGATGTTCATGCGTTTGTAGTCGCTATAAAAATTATCCAAATTAGTAAAGATTTTTTCACATTAAAAATGTTATTTTAGATACAAACCACAAGGGATTGGTAACATCGCCGGGTGAGCACTTGCTGACCAACAGGAATATCAACTCGTTCATGTTCATGCGGGTAAAGGGGTTGGGGTAGCAAATGATGCCAGTGACCAGGGTGACAAAGAGCACTTCCATGACGGGATACTGGCCCAGCTTGCTGAACTTCCTGTAGCGGCACCACCACAAATTGGCCTTGATGAAGAAGGTTCCAATTACACCCTATAAATTAAATTATATTAATTAATTATATTAACAGTATTTTAAAATCTTATACAACTTACTCCCATAATTCCCAGGAATACGAAAGGAATGAGTTCAAAGAAGATCCAGGGCTTATTGTACTCCACGAAAAAGAGCACGGAATGCTCGTTGCCAAAGGGAGTCAGTGATCTCAGGACGAAAGCAGCGATCAACGCACAAAAGAAGGAGCGCCACAAAGTCTTCAAGGGGAAGTAGTAGGAGACTTCCTCCAGCGAGAACAGAACGCCACCGATCGGTGCACCGAAGGCCACGGAGACACCTGCTGCTGCCGCCGCCGAAAGTATCTCACGCTTCTTGGCCTCATTTCGACCGTATTTGGGGAATACGTGCGAGAATATGTTGCCGATACAGCTGGCAATGTGGACCATGGGTCCCTCCTTGCCCAAAGTGAGGCCAGCGGACACGGACAGCATCAAGCCCACCGATTTAATCAGCAGCGTCCATTTACCAAGATATCCGCGAATAATGAAGCCCGACAAGATGGTCTTTATCTCCGGAATACCCGATCCGCAGGCATATGGCGCAAACATGCGCACCAGCGAGGCGCTGAGCGAGGCAAATAGCAAAGCCCACAGCACATACCAGATGTAGGCGACGATATATGGTCCGGTGCCATTGCGATCCAGGCCAAAAATCTCAGGCCAGGTTTTCCACTGCAATAGAAAGCTGTTTTAGTGGCTTGTTTTGTAAGACTTATGTGTAGTACAAACTCACAGTTGAACAGTTGCCTTCCTCAAACACCGACTGCTTGGCCGGATAGCAGCATTGCTCCCGGTTAAACCAAAAGGCGGGCGGACAAATGCCATGCTTGAGATCCGACATCCAACTGGCTCCAATGTCCACCATGCCAGCCACACAGCCCGCGGCAATGCCGACGAGCAAAACGCATAGCCAGCCAGATCCGGCATCAATCGAGCCCTTAAAAAAATATATATATTTTATCAAGTAAGGTTTTCCATTTTAAGATAAATATATTTTACCTTTATTAAATCCCACAGCGAGTCCTGCCGCTTCTTGACTATGTAGCGATGTCGCATCCGATCGCGGGCAATGTCCCGCTGCCAATCGATGGTGTGGAAATCCTCGTACTGTCCAATGCCAGGAATATCATCTTGTACGTCCGAGGAACCATAGAAGGACAGTGCTCCTACAGCAATGAAAAAGAAAATCAGAATCATTTTTGTTGTCTAGATTGAGTGGCATTAAATGTTTTTAAATGACTAGTTTAATTTGAATGGTCTGAAGTCATAGTTCACAGAAAAAATTACAGTATAATTCTAAATATTTTACTTGTACTTCATTTTATATTTTAAAAAGAATTGATTTTTGGTACCTACTAATATGTTTTTTATATGATTGCGACATTGTAAACACAATCCCTTTTTTCGCTTCAATAAAGTTTGATATTTTATAGCGCTAACATCATAATTACCCAGCAGCGATTGCAATTATCATCACATATGTGAATTGGTATTTACCCAGCAAATAAAATGCATTCATTTGAATTCGAATGAATAATTCTCAATAGAAATGCCAGCTGGTTGTTTGGACAACCCAGTGATTATTTCGTTAAACTAGCATCACGTGTACACAACCATTGCGCTGTGTTGGTGTTTATTTATCATATATATATAGAAGAATTTAACTTGTATCCGAATTATGCCTGTATGCTAATGATCGTTGGAATTAATTGAATTGCCCAGAGAGCGAGTACAGCTGTGTGCCACGCCACCGAAAACTGGGAACCGGCGACGTCGCCTTGCTCATATGATCATGATCTTGATTAACACCACAGACAGTGGACGACGCTTTACGCAATGGATCTCTCTTTCTCTCTTTCGGAACTCACCGTCCATGGGATCGCCGAAGGCACTGTGAGTTGGCACATGCTGGTGGTGAAGCTGGTGCATTGTCCGCTGACTGTGATGATTGCCACCGCCGCCGAGGCCGCCACCGAAATCCCGTTCGGTGTCCGATTCGGTGGCCGTTTCCCGGTGATAGCCACTGCTGCTTCCTGCTCCTCCTCCGCCACCGATGCCGCCGCCCATGACGTCGCCCGGACTGGAGCGCGGTGTGATGTCGATCATGTCCTCGTCGTCGGTGCCCGGCGCCGTCAGGGAGGTGGTCAATTTGGAGTGCTGGGCCAGCGGGTGGTCGCGGAACGATCCGTCTAGGTCAGCGTCGCCGCCGGCTCCGTTTGTGTGGCCGTTCGACTGAAATAAAACAGCGAAAATAACGAAAAGCTATGAGGAATGGTTCGTGGATTTGGAGAGGTGGCCAAGCGCTTTGTTTACGCAGTGACTCTGATAAGATTAAGATCTCGGACAAAGTGAGATAGTTAAAATAATACAACCATCTGTACTTTGAGTTACATTTGGCAGCATTTCCGCCCCCTTTTGCCAGATGTTACTCGTAATCAGGGGTGTCGCACAAAACCCTTATCCGGGGTGCTTCAAAAATCCATTCCAAAATTATAAATTATTGTCTTTAAAGACTAAAACGGAAATACACTTAAATATTAAAAAAAAAAACAGCAGTTCCGGTGAAAAAAGAGATAAATAGCAAAAAATTATAGAAATGGGATTATAAAGAAACTGACTTCAAGCTTTATAGATATCTATTAAATTTACATAGAATTTCTTTAAAAAAAAAACATATTAAAACTTGAAATGATAATTTTGAAACAGATATTTTAAAAATCTCTAGAAAAGTTCATATGTGAAAAATATATATACAAATAAGGACTTTTATTTCTGCACCATTCTTATCCAATAATTAACCCGAATTTTATGTTTCTAACGGTTCATTTTGTGCTGCGTAGGTGATATGGGGGGAAATCCCCAATGGATTACAATATCAGGTACGGTGCGTACCTTTTTCATGACCGTTTGGTAGGCGGTTATGTAGCTGTTGCCCTCCGCGGCAGCCTCCCTGCTGCCCTTCAGCGGAAACTTTTCCATCGCTCAATCCTGCTCGATCCTATGTTTATTTTTCTCTAACTATCCAAAATTCTTGGGGTTCCTTTTTTGCGTTGCAGCGGAGTCAAGCGAAGCAGAGCAGCGGCAGCGCAGTTGCAGCGCAGCGAGCGCACGTCACTAAGTACAAACACACAAACAATTGTTCGTTGGGCGAATCACCAATCACTTTCTTTCCATTTCACTCGGCCCGCGGACGTAAACTCGATTTGATTGGCATCAATATGGCTTAAACAGGTGTTAAATCGATGATAGTGCACATTATATTGGTAAAGTGCTTAATTTTGTATGCTATGCGAATATTTTACTTTATTTGCAAAAATTCAGTATGACCATAGCGAGTCAGGTAGGAAAATACTGATTTAATAGCCGGATTCCGTTGCCACATTTTGCTGAATGAATATTAAGGGTATTCCCCAAACTGTTGATTTGATAAATCGTTGAGTTTCAGTCAGCTGTGTATCTATTGTTTCTTCCAAATGTATTTTTAGTTTTTTATTGAGTTAGTCATTTACACAATTATTTCGAAAAAGCAATTTTGGGATGTATACTGGGTGAAACAGTTCCGATCTGATATATCGAGAATGTCATATCAAATATATATCGTTAAGTTTGAAATATCGAAAAATTACGAATTTTACGTTATAATATTGACCAAAAAATATTCAAAAATGTTTTTATTATGTTTTTTAAATATAACATCGCAACTTTCAATTATCGATACAGTATCGATATATAAATGTTTTCGGCAATCGTAGAGGACGTCCGTTTGTTGTCCGTTATTTTTTGCTGACAATTTCGCAATAATATTATTATTCAACGAGTTGCGTTTGGATTCGGTAGAGAATTAGTCAAGAACGAATGTAATCTGTGGGAAAAGATTAAAATGTCAGAGATACAGTGGTTTGTGTCATGGCTGGCCCTGTGGTTCTAGTACTGGAGTTTATCCCTTTAAATTTTACCCACTGCATTATGTGCAAAGAGTCAGTTATTCAGACAAGAACTCTGGTTTCAAAATGCCGATTTTGAATGTTGTATTTATATATTTATATAGGTACTATTAAGTCAATAGTGTCATTTTGGTTTTTGTTGTTTTTTGAATTTTACCATTGACCTTTAATTCTTTTTTTATACCTTTGCTTCGGTGAAAATACAAATTTTGTGAATAAACAAATTAAACCGTTTCTAAAATTATCTCATTCGGCATGATGCAAGATAATAACTAGCAGATAAATAAATATTTATCGAATATTTAAGAAACTCTTAAGCACATTTTTTTCTTCCAGCTCAGTTGTTTTATATTCCAGTAACATAGTTCAATGATGATTGCATTTATTCAAGCCTGGTTTTGTTGGTGTTTGTTAAGGTGATAAGAATATTTTTGGCTTCTCTGTACAATGAGTTATTCATTCGAGCGTTTGCCTCAGGTACGATGAGGTCCATGGTTTTGATAGCTCTCGTGGCGTTGGTCCTTTGCGACGAAGGACTGGCCAGACTCTTGGATGAAAAATGTGAGAGTCAGGAGGAGTTTGGAGGCACCTCTGAACGACCACTCGGCACTTCTTGGATGGCAAGCGTGTACAACGAAACGGGACATCACTGCGGAGGATCATTAATAACCAAACGTGAGTTCTTGAACTTTTTACCTATAGGTAATTTATAAATTATATTTTTTAACATTAAATTTTCAACAGGTTTCGTTCTAACAGCTGCTCATTGTATAGAGGGACAGGATTTACTGTAAATATCACTGGGAGTTTGCTTTTATATCATTGTTATTTTGATATCTTGTCTTAGGTATGTGCACTTGGGAGAATACGACCGATCCTGCCCTCCATGGAAATGCATGGGGGAAGTGGACCCCTTTAATGTAAGCGTGGCCATAGTTCATGGTCATTTTTCTTTTGATCACGGGCAGTATGATATAGGACTGCTAAGACTGGAGAGAGAAGTTCAGTTCAATGGTAAGCTATTCTATTTGTTTCAATTTTTATGTAACAATTTCTCTTTTCCAGTGTTCATTCGACCAATTTGCATTATTTTAGATGACCCGGTAAATTCAGCGGCAGTCAACGAATACTGGGTCTACGGTTGGGGAATGCTTCGTGCTTTTGGGAAAAAAAGCAACATTCTGCAGGCCATAAAACTGTACCAGCGGGAATTGAAAGATTGCAGATATACCATAATGCCTTTAACTGATAGGCAGATCTGTGCCGGGGCTACCATAGGCGACACTTGTGGAGGTGACTCCGGTGGTCCTTTGGCAGCCTATTTTACCTACCAGGGAATAAAAAGATTCGTACAATTTGGGATAGTCAGTTACGGCAGAAATTTTTGCAATTCCAATGGTGTCTACACAAATGTGATGAGCTATCAAAAATGGATAGCTGATACTATAAGCCGTTATGAAGACAAAAACACATTGTTAAATATCAGATTTAACTAGAAATGATAAAGAATAACTAGATGTTCAAAGTCAATGCGTTTAAAATAAATGTAAAATGGTCAACAAAGTGTTTAAATTATAACATTTTTGAAAAATTTTAATGTAAAAGGGTGGTGAGGTAGATTTTCGCATGGTTTCTTAAAATTCACTAATTTACTTACAGCATTTTTGGGTCCAAAATTAAAAATTAATAAATAAAAAAAGTTTTGAATTTGAACATTAAATATTGTATATTAATGGTTACCAATTTAATTGTAATTAAAGTTTTGTCCCCTCCAAACATACAGAAATAAAACACTGGCTCGTTCGTTTTTTTAAACCACATTCAATGTAAATATGTATTTGCTGTTTATGGTAAAGACTTGACGTCTGCTTGAATATTACGCTGTTTAGTAGCTAGTTTTCATCCATTCCCGTGATATATGCATGCGTCGGATTCTTTTCCCTTTTCTTTTGCTGTAGTAGCTCAGTATAGTATTACATAGGTTCAACTGCCTTTAATTATCCGTAAACTTTTTGCCTTGGCGCGCTTTTCAAAATAGTTTCGAATGGGTTTTGGGTATGGGACTTACAATAGATAAGACGACATATGTCGTAGTAATTAACTTAGTTGCGTAGGGTATTCATTAGTGGGGTGTGTGTAAATAATTTCCAGGGGCCTCGAGACTCGAGTGGGTCTAAAACTTAACGATAGGCCATATAACACTTAACAATTAGGAGTAAAACAATAAAATTATTAGTAGGTAAATTGAGTGATTGTTTCTCATTAATTGGGCTTGGTACTCCTCGGGATTTCCTCTTGGTTTTTCATAGGTAGGTATATATAGACGATCCTCAGCGAAGTCCAACGGCGTGCTGGATAAATCTCAATGTCGCATGATTTTGCTGCGGTTCCTCTTCTCTCTCTCTCTCGTTAAAGTAATTTATGCAGTTGTTGTATATGGATATTTGTATATATATATATATTGTTCAATATTTATGCATTGGTTTTGGCCTACTTTGGCCTGCCCTAAAAAAATTATGCGCATCGCGTCCCGTTCCGCCCCGAAATTCCCATTTACATACAAAACATACCGAGTACTCTACCTCTACCTCCGCTCTAGGTTCTTACAAAATTGGTGCCATCTTGTCGAGTGTCTTTGTGTGATTTTTTCTTCAATAATAAATGCAGAAGTTCGACTCTGCCTTATCCGTATCCTTCAGAGTTTCCACTTCCCCTTAGTCTGACTGCCGGTTTATTGTTGTCTTTGTTCGCGGAATCGGAATCGGGATCGGGATCGGGAGAATATGGCTTTTGTTAGTCGCGACCAGGCCAATTACACGATAACGTATTACATATTTCTGCACTGGGCACAAACGGAGCGCGCCTTTGTATTGTCACGCACAAAATCATGCACATTGAACTTTCCATCATCGCCGTGTTCGTAGCCGCGACTCTTCAGCTGCCTGAAAATATAAAAGATTGTAAGGAAAAGTCAAAGAAGGAGCTGGACATTTTCCAAGAAGTCAACAGTGATGGGAAATACCTAATATCCAGCTGATTCGGTAAAAACTACCAATTACTTTTACACAGAAACAAATTTAACAAAAGATCATGCCGATATGATCAGGACAATTTAAAATTTTTAAAGATACATTTATTCATATCATTTTGATACGATGATGTAATATATAAACAAATATATAATTGATATGTTTGAATCATAAATTTGACATAATTTAAATTGATATTACATAATGTAAAATCGATCTACGTTTCATATCGATTCTGTTTTGGGTGTAGAATTTAAGATAATGTAAAGATAAAGATCGTTTTGGTTACAACTGCAAACTTTTAAAATAAAATGTTATCAATCGACACGCTTCCTGCTTATAGTCCAGTGTCACAGTTCATTTATGGGGCTATCATGTTTAGCAATTAAAAGATAAGACGATTCGCTGGCTTCTCTGGAAGGTTTAAATTGAATAAACTTGATGCTGCACAGTCAGTCAGTAATTCATAACATTTGCCATTGGTACGATGAAGTCGGTGCTTTTCTTTGCTCTCATAGCGTTAATACTCCGACATGAAGGTACTCTTGGCCAACTCTTGGATGAGCAGTGTGAGAGTCAGGAGGAATTTGGAATAACTTTCAGCAGACCAGCCGGCATTTCTTGGATGGCAAGCATATACGATAAAACTGAGTTTGTCTGCGGAGGATCATTGATTACCAAACGTGAGTTTATACAGTTTTCAGCTAACTTATATTTAACATGAATTTTTTGTTAAAAGGCTTCGTTCTAACAGCAGCTCACTGCATAAAAAATCACACGTTAGAGTAAGTACCACTGTTATTTTTGGCCTATAACTTTGTGATTGTGATGTATTTTCTTAGGTATGTGAATTTGGGGGAATACGACAGATCCTGCCCTCCATGGAAATGCAGGGAAGTGGAACGATATAATGTCAGCTTGGCTATAATGAATAGACGTTATTCTTCTGATCGTGGGCAGTATGATATAGGACTGATTAAACTGGAAAGAGAAGTGCTGTTCAATGGTAAGCTATTCACTTTGCTTTAATTTGTATGTAATAATTTTCTGTATTAATTTTTTGTAGCGCACGTTCGACCGATTTGCATCATCATGGATGACACAATTAACTCAGGGGCAGTCCACGAATACTCAGTCTATGGTTGGGGACAGCTCTCCGCCGACGGACCAAAAAGCAATGTTTTGCAGTTTATACAGTTGACCCACCGGAACTCGGGAGATTGCAAATCTATAGTGCCTTCACCCGATACGCAGATCTGCGCCGGAACCGCAGGGGGCGACACCTGTCCAGGTGACTCCGGCAGTCCTTTGGCATCCTACATCTATTACCAGGGAATAAAGAGATTCGTACAGTTTGGGCTAGTCAGTTACGGTAGCCGTTTTTGCAATACCGATGGTATCTACACAAATGTGATGAGCTATAAGAACTGGATAGCTGCTACCCTACGCCATTTCGCATAGTTAAATATCAAATATGTATACATATATTAACAAACATGCGTTCAAAATAAATGGAAAATAAGGAACTAAAATAAGAAAAAAATGTCATAATTAAATGTTATGTTATGTTTTATGTTTTCTCATTTAATCAGGGTCAATTTTATAATTTAGAGCATTATTTTCTATAGCTTCACCAATAAACAAAAATATTGCAGACTTTTTTAAAACTAAAGTAAATTTAATTCAAAAACAAGAAAGGAAGCTAGCTTCGGCCAGCCGAAGCTTATATACCCTTGCAGATCATTCCTATTAATTAACAAATCGCAAAAATGTTCAATTTTCTAATATTTCTCATTAATTTTCCGATCGTTCCTATGGCAGCTATATGATATAGTCGTCCGATTTTGATCCAATTAAAATTGAAGTTCGGAAATATTTAAAAAGAGTCATATCCTAGAGTAGAAGATAATACAATAAAATCCAAAGAAGCTAGAATTTATTTCCTATTACTTTTCCATTAATTTTCCGATCGTTCCTATGGCAGCTATATGATATAGTAGTCCGATATTTTAAATAATTAATTCGAAATTCAGATATATTTAAAAAATAACATCCCCAAAAGTAGAAGGTAATATTTCAAAAAACACCGAAGCTAGAATTTTTTAAAGTTTTTTTTTTCCGATTGTTCCTATGGGAGCTATAAGATATAGTTGTCCGATCCGGTCGGCTCCGACATATATACTACCTGCAATAGAAAGAAGACTTTTGCGAAAGTTTTGTCCCGATAGCTCAAAAACTGAGAGACTAGTTTGCGTAGAAACAGACAGACGGACAGACGGACAGACGGACAGACGGACGGACAGACGGACAGACGGACAGACGGACAGACGGACATGGCTAGATCGACTCGTCTTGTGATGCTGATCAAGAATATATATACTTTATGGGGTCGGAAACGTCTCCTTCACTGCGTTGCAAACTTCTGACTGAAATCATAATACCCTCTGCAAGGGTATAACAAGAAAGGAAGCTAGCTTCGGCCAGCCGAAGCTTATATACCCTTGCAGATCATTCCTATTAATTAACAAATCGCAAAAATGTTCAATTTTCTAATATTTCTCATTAATTTTCCGATCGTTCCTATGGCAGCTATATGATATAGTCGTCCGATTTTGATCCAATTAAAATTGAAATTCGGAAATATTTAAAAAGAGTCATATCCTAGAGTAGAAGATAATACAATAAAATCCAAAGAAGCTAGAATTTATTTCCTATTACTTTTCCATTAATTTTCCGATCGTTCCTATGGCAGCTATATGATATAGTAGTCCGATATTTTAAATAATTAATTCGAAATTCAGATATATTTAAAAAATAACATCCCCAAAAGTAGAAGGTAATATTTCAAAAAACACCGAAGCTAGAATTTTTTAAAGTTTTTTTTTTCCGATTGTTCCTATGGGAGCTATAAGATATAGTTGTCCGATCCGGTCGGCTCCGACATATATACTACCTGCAATAGAAAGAAGACTTTTGCGAAAGTTTTGTCCCGATAGCTCAAAAACTGAGAGACTAGTTTGCGTAGAAACAGACAGACGGATGGACAGACGGACGGACAGACGGACAGACGGACATGGCTAGATCGACTCGTCTTGTGATGCTGATCAAGAATATATATACTTTATGGGGTCGGAAATGTCTCCTTCACTGCGTTGCAAACTTCTGACTGAAATCATAATACCCTCTGCAAGGGTATAACAAAAGCTAGAAAACTGACCAAATTTTAAAGAACGTTTTAAATTAATAAAAATATTAATTTTTAAACTGTTACAGAAGTTCAATATTATTTTCCTCTCTATTTACCCATCACTGAAGGTCGTAGTTCTGACCAATTTAGGATGCACTTCAATGGGAAGACCTACCTGGCCACCGCTGTGAAGGACAGCTCCACATTGAGTCCCGTCTTGGCCGAGGTCTCCATGAAGGGCACGTTGTGCTCCCTGCCCAAACGCTCGCCATCCTCCCGCTTCACCTGCCGCTCGCTGCCGCTGCAGTCGGCCTTGTTTCCTGCGAAACGGGGGCAAAAGTGGATTCGATTGCATCCGGAGTTCGTAAGTTGATTAAGCGTAATCAAAGCCTTTTAGCTGGATCTCTCACCTATTAAAACGATGACCACGTCCTCCTGCGCGTACTCCCGGATTTCGCCCAGCCAGGCGCGTATGTTGTCGTAGGTGGTCTTGTTGGTCACGTCGTACAGCAGCAGCAGAGCTTTGGTTCAAAAATTAAATTAGAATCAAAGGACGCGCAGTCGAAGGGGCAGGGGGGAAATGCACGGGAAAAAATTAGTCAAATTAGTAAATTAAAATTGATTATTGTTAAAACTAAAACTAAAGGTAGATTTTATCAACTAGTATTTATTGCAATCAGTAATTTCTGTTCAGTAAATTCCCTGAATACGAAATGCACCTTTCAATGGGATTTTTTTTATTCCGAGTAATAAACAATGGTTGTCTTTCTTCAGCAGAAAAGCTCTTTAGATTATTATGTACATGTCTGGAAATGAACATTTCGCTTTATTTCCTAGAAGTAGCAAAGATCTCTTCTTTCATTTGCCATTCACATAGATTAGACCTTAGCAAATTTCATTGAAAGGCAAAACTTTAAGGTCTTTGGAAAACAACACTGCCTTTAGGGAGGTTTTTGTAGAATTCTAGGAAGTGAAAAAATATTCTATAAAAGAGTGATAATGACTCTAAAGTCATTTAGTTTTTTCTACACAATAAAATGCTGACAATCAGAAGTTTCTTGGAAACTATAAAAGAGTGATGATGACACTAAACTCATTTGGTTTTTTCTACACAAAAAATTGCTGACAATCACAAAGTTCTTTGAAAATAAATTGTTATATTTGAAAAAAAATGAGATAGGAATAATATTTTTAGTTTTCAAGTAATAAAGTTTTTTAAAAATATTAAATAGATAACTTATACGTAAACGATAGGATAAATAAAAAAAAAGAATATTTATCTTTACAATTTCTAATATCTAAATATTTTTCCATCACTCTCGTAAAATAAAAAGGATGTTCAAAATATATTTTTTTCTATTTTAAAGGATTTTTTGTAAATGTGTAGGGCTAGCTCACCATGGGCGTCGCGGTAGTAGGCGTGGGTAACGCTACGGAATCGCTCCTGACCGGCTGTGTCCCAGATTTGCAGCTTGACGCGCGTCCCATCGACGACCACCACTTTGTTCTGTTGATATTTTTGTAATTGAACGAAATGTAATTTATTATTTTATAAATGCCGTACGCACAAAACTGGTCTGTTGGAAATGCAATTGTTATGTAAAATGCAATTAATTCACGAAACGCTCATGCACAAAAGCCGTGCCACCGAATTACACACAGAGAGAGAGAAAGAGAGAGGGGAATAAGGAGATAACGTGGCGTATACTTAATGCATATATCACTTATACGCAGCGTGGGTTGCTTGACCGTATAACACATGCACAAGACTTCCAAAAAGCAAAAGAGTACGGGGTCGGGGGAATATTCATAAGCACGGGAAGAGCAGGCAGAAATTTCCATGATGAAAGCCTTGGGTCGAAGGATCTGGCATAATGATGATCCACCTCCTTTTCCGCTTCTTCATTTTCCTTTTTCTTTTTTTTTGCCCGGATAATGAGCAGCAGACGTTGCAAGTTCGTTCGGCCATTGGCATTGCGATGGCCCCATGTCGTGCCCCACCAACTACTCAGACAGTCAGTCAATACCATAAAAGTGTACGACTCGAGCAGGGGAAATAAATACAGAAAGACACAGAAAATACAGAACAAACAGCAAAAGGTACAAGTACGGTTATATGGTTTTAATGTGTTTGTGCGGCATATTGCCTTGATTTGATTTCAATTTCGGGGAAAGTAACATGACTAAAAAGATAAGCCAGCAATTTCTGGCTCAGCACGCTCACACTGCCACAAAAATTTTAGGGATAGAATGTTAAATATCTTAAATTTACCAATTTTTAGTTATATTAAGGAAAATAAAATTAACTTCTTATGAAAAAAGGTGTCGAAAGTAAATAAGTGGTTACATCTTACAATACTCAAATGGAAAATGGAAAACTTTTCCTACATCTAGGGAGTTCAAACATTTAATTATCCATAAATTGGCAGGCACTCATATACAATATTCGTTTACTTTATACTTTGGCCAAGAATCAGCCAAGTTGAAAAATCAACATGAACAACTCCCCAGCGAATTAAATTTCAGGTCATTCCCCAGGGGATATGAATGATGTGGATGTGGATGTGGATGGGGGATGTGGATGACTCGGGGGTTGGTGCATCCCCGAGGCCAAAGTTAGACAATGCCAGAGTCGACATATTTAATATGGGAAACATGGCAACAATTTAAAGTCAAGGAAACGCCAAACGAATAGGGGCACTTGTAAAATTTCCCGGGACAGAGACGGATAGTAATAGAGAGAAAGAGAGGGAGAGACAGATAGGCAACACGGGTAGTTTAATAAATTTATGAGCCATGAACCACAGAGGAAAAGAGGATATATGGAAGGCCCCCGGCCAGGACAACTAAGCCCCTAAATGTTGAACCGCACAATAATAAGCATGGTAAAAGCAATTACAACAACACGTTAAATACGCCAACAACAACAACGATGGAGAGTAAACAGCACTCACACACACACAAAGAACATCAACAAGTCCTTTTCAAGTTCACATGCTTTTTAATAAATAGTCCCCCAAGGATCTTTATCTCTATCAACAAAGTGGGGAGTTGGGTGGTTTTCGTTGGGTTTGAACAAGAACTAAACGTAAAGAGGACAACCGCAGGCAACTACGAAATCATGAAAACCGCAACCCATAGACGGGTCAGAGGGGGAGAGAGACAGAAACAGACGGGCAGAAAGAGAAAGAGACAGAGACAGAAAGGAGGAAAGAGACAGACAGTGAACAGTGGAGTTGAGAGGGCAGTAGGTGAAAATCGCATTCAGAACCTTGACAACTGTTGACAGGACACACAGATTGGCGCTAAGAAGAAGACAACAGGAGTGGTGGCGGTACACAGAGAGAAATATGTATGAAATAGAAATTGAAAATTATAAATATAAATAAAAATAAACTGTTATTAATTTGAAATCAATTAAAAAGCTTTAATAAGAATGCTTTGAAAATGTTTATTTAAATTAATCATTACATTTTAATTTTTTCGGTTGAAAGTTTAGTTCTTATAAATTTAAATTGTGATTATGATGCACAACTTTTTAGTTTTTTTTAATTTAAGGATTTATTTAATATTGTTATTTATTATTCAGAGACTTAAAAAATGAAAGAAAAAACATTTTGTATTAACTTTGAAAGAAAAAACATTTTGTATTAACTTTGCCATTGCTCTGTAAGCCAATGCTAGTTCTTTAAACATTAATATCGTACACCAATACTTATATTTATATTTAGTTTTCTCCCTGTGTACCCACTGACGGACAGTTCAAATAGACAGATAAATGATGTAGATTTAGTAGACAGGAAGAGTCAGAGATGTGAGAAAAAAACACTTATGCGGAAAGAACAACAATGATAGGAACAATATCCACAACGACAACAACAATAACAAAGACAACAACAATACGGATAAGGATAATGACAATGACAACAATATATAGAAAGAGGCAACAGAACACACACACTTACACACAGAATTAGAATTGAATTCAACAGTACAGAACAGAACAAACTTGGCGGGAATAAAGCGCTTACCCTAAAATCAATGCCGACCGTGCTGAGGAAATAGCTCGGCACATAGCGACCATCGCGGAAGCGGATCAAAAGTGAGGTCTTGCCCACTCCCGAATCGCCCAGCATTATGACCTATTTCAGTGGGTGGTAGGAGACGGCGAGAAAAGCCAAAGAAAACCATGTGAGACGTAAATTATTATGTACATTCGATTTTCGGGGCGGTGGTTTGATTTTTCTGCATAATAATTTATGCCCTTCCCTAATGTTTCCAGTTAAATATTTAATGAGCTGCTTATGAATTTTACATCGGGAGTGCTGAAAGCTCTCGTTTTCAACCTCCGGCAATTGCAGGATTTTCCCCCTTTATACCCTTTATATGTGAAATCCTTTCAAAAGGGTCCTGCTGCCAGCTGCTATTGACTCTTTTGGGATACGTAAAGTTACATAGCTCGGTTATGCAAACACTGCAATTGCTGATTTCCCAGGGAATACACCTTGTTGTTTGCCAGCTGCTAACTAGCCGTAAATGTTACATGTAAAAGCAGTGCGTAAAACCTTTTTGGACACAGAAAATAAATACTCACACTACATGGCATTCAAATAATGAATTGTATATTCTTTAATATTTTAATATTAATGTTTAAAAGTTTGTTTTACTTAAAACAATTAAGTATCTGTTAATTTTTGTTTAATATTTAATTTTTTAGTATTAATATTTTTTAAGTTTTATCCTGAGAAATTTTAAATGATTTTTTATTAATTTAATTAAAATTATTTCTGACATATCAAAGTTTAGCCGTAAAGAATTAAAGAAACTAAGGAAATTAAGCTTATTTGTTGAATTTGTAATTTTAATAAATTTTTTAGTAACCCAAAATATTTAAAATATTTATAAAAGAAACATTAGGACCTACTATAAGCCTATCTTTTTTTAGGACATTTTTCTCTGTGCACTTATATTTGTATACCTTCTTATGCATGGCCGAAATTAAAATGGAGATTGCTTAAATAATTGCTTTCATTGGAGCCAACTAATTTGCTCACTTTAAATGGCTTTAAGCTGCCTCGAGGGATTTATGCAAATGCCTTGCTCAACATTTAACGAGCGCGACAAATAAATGAAATTTTTATGCAGCTCCTGTTTTATATATTTTTCATTTCCACAACTTGGCTTGGCAGCTGGCTGACAGGAAGTCGCCGCCAGGAGTCCTGTCATAATTCACCAGAATTATTCTAATCAACAGCAGCTGCAGCAGCAGCCAGCGAATATCGCAAAAACTTTGCTCTCCAACTTTCTCTTTCTGTGTCTGCCCATTTAATTTCCTTTGTCACTCTGCACTTTATTGAATTTTATGACTTTATTTTCGGCTGCTTATGTAAATCACATTGTAAATCAGGCCAAAAGCCGATCAGGGACGCAGCGAATAAAAGCCGGCTCGTAAAAGTCGCAGGCAGTCAAACAAAAAGGTATAATACATAAATCAAATTGCGGCTGGGTGAAGTGAAGCACTCGTCTCCCAGACTCTTCTTCAAGTTGCAAATAAAAATATACCCATAAGAGTGTATATATTTATACATTTTTTTTTCTTTTCGGTACGCCTTTATTGTCGCCTTTTTGAAAATGTAAATTGGCAGTTGACAAGTTGAATCGAAAAGGGGATTTTTCTTTGCTTTTTTTCTGGGAGTGAATGCAGTGATGGAGGGGAATTCTTTATAACTGGTTGGAGCTCAAGGTCGATGTCAATAAGTGTAAAGTATTTGAGCTGGCAAACTAGTGATGCTAAAAACTTTTCTTGAATATTACAGAAATAATTCAATTATTGGCTTATTAATTATTTAAAGCAAAACTAACTTTTAGAGTTCAAATTGTAGCCCATTAAAAGTATTGAAATAATAATATTTATTAAAAACTTTTTTTTGGAAATATTTCCTATAAAATCTCAATATATTTTAATTATTTTTCATAGTAATAAGATTACAAATAAATTTATTTAAGCTTTTGTTTTCATAATATTTAATGAAAATTTTTTTTTAAATATTTCCTAAAAGCATTAAAAATGTCTTAGATACTTCCGACTACTGACTTTATTTTTTAAGCTATCTAACTAAAAAAAATTAATCTAAACTTATTTCATTATATTATTTTATGTAAACTTTTTTTTTTTAATATTTCCTAAAAACTTTAAAAATTTCTCAGATACTTCCCATTACTGCCCATCACTTTCTGCGCTATCTAACTAGTTTTCAAATACTTTCCCAATCCCCCAGTTGTATTCACCTTGCCCATGATATCGAAATCGTCCTCCTCCTCCGGCGGATTGTTGGAGGAAATCATGCGGATGAGTGCTCGTCCGGCGTTCTTGCAGAGCGTGGCGCCGGCTCCCTCGTTTCCAGGTCCCGGAGCAGGTGCAATAGATGGCCTGGCCACAGCAGTTCCTCCTCCTCCTCCGCCCCCTGCTCCTCCCCCTGCTCCTCCGGAATCCAATAGGGGCTGCTGTTCTGCTCCAGCTGCCAATCTCACGCTATTCAAACGGGCCATAAAACCATTGCCAGATGGCAGATGGTGTGATTGCGATTGCGATTGGGATTGGGATTGCACTGATGTCTGTGGAGTTTGATCCCGGAAAATGGAGGCCGAGGTCATGTATTCGGGCAGCAGGGGCTGCTGGGAGATGGACTGCTGTCGCTGGTGGACAATCACACTGGGCCGCCTCTTCGGATAGCCATCATCGTCGGAATCATCGGAGGCAATGCCATTGATCTTGTCCAGCGTTTTGGGTGGCAGCTGGCCCGGGGTGATGTGCTGCCAGGTGGGCTTCACCAGGGACTCCCGACGAGCCGGTGGCGATCCACTACTGACCACCAATGGCGATGGATTGGCCACCGAAATGGAGGGCTTTCGTGTGCCCGATGGACTGGCGATGGAATCGCTGCGATATCTTGTCTGCTGACGACGCATCTTTGAAACCTCTTCACTTTACTTCCTGTTTCTGTTCCTGCTGATTGGCCTGATTCTATATTTAACACACATAGCACATAAATCAATAATCTCGGTTCTGTCTTCATTATTGATGGGCGAAAAACCAACCCCCGGGAGGAAAGTAAGTAAAGTACCCCGAAATAAAGTTTGTTTAGGTCGCAGATACACACAAACACACACTCACAGTTCCGACCAAGTCATTAAAACTCATTAAAAAGCATAAACAAGATGGCAACTTTCATCTTAGCCTGTTTTCATGATTTTTTAAATATGACCGTACTGTGTGTAGAGCAAAAATAATAAATTAAAATACTGGAATGGAATGGAATTTTCGTCATAAAACAAAGAACGACCAGGTGCAAATTGAATGTAATTTCGACGCTTTCTCTTTTTGGCGAAATGAAATGAAAACCGAAACCCACAAATGCCCCAGGGCCACAAAACAACAACTGTCGTTGACAACAGGGTAGTGAAAAGGGGGTGGTGAGAAGAGGGGGTGGTGAAAAGGGGGTGATATTGTGGGCGGTTGCGGTCGCTGTCGCTAAATCAACAGTTGGCAAGCAAACCGCAAGGCCACCGAAAGGCGAAAGCGAAAGCAAAATCAGCGGACCGAAGCTGTGGCTAACTAAATTTTTGGCTAATTATGCATTGGCTCGTCCTGAAGGAGAAAGTTGGCCAATACCGCCAAGGGGTAGGTGGAGGTATTCGTACAACCCTGTGATTAACTAGCGCTCATTAGCAACCACGAAATGCCCTAACGGCTGTTTGACTAAGTGATTACAAATCGCCTGTACCTACGCATCATTGCCAATTTTCTTGGCATACTTTTTGGGGCCGAAAAGAGTGAAAGTGAAAACGAGGCGTTCCCAGTTTCAGATCCTCAATTTACTTCTTATTTCGTAATTTAATCTATAATCAGTAGACCTTTCAAATATTGGTAAATACTTTTTTTGTGTATTTACAATTTAACCGAATTAATGACAATTTATTTTAATATTAGAGTAATACAATAATTTGATGTTAAAAACCATTCATAAAATAAAAACCTTTTAATGATTACCATTAAATATAAATAAATAAATATTTTAAATAATTAATCAATTGCCATTTATGGCACAGTAAATATTTAATTAAAATACGTACATAAAAAAATGGTGAAAATTAAAATGGTAAATATTGAAGCTCACATAAATTTAAATTTTCACGTTTTAGCGAAAACAAAAATAATAAACAGCCAGCAGAGAGTCCACAGCTAATAAAAGAAAAAAATAATGGAATATCAAGTCATCCAAATAAATTCACATAAATCGATAAGATAAAAAGCAGTGAATACAATTTGCATACCACCAAAATCTATAAACTAGAAATCACTTTTTATGTACGAAAAGTTGGTGAACTCTTATTTACTTTGACGTTTTTGGGGTTGCCTGCCGGCGAGGCGAAATTCACCCGAACTTTAATTTAATTTGCAGCTCAACAAATTGCCAAATGCCAATATATACATATATCAATATGGTTGTTCGGCTTTCAATTTTGCAGACAAAAACCCGTTTTGACGTGGGTGGATTTTGGGGTTGGTGATTAAAGGGGTCGGGGAAGGACTATTGAAGTTGTGGGCCCGCAGATCCGTGCGAATTCAGCCATCCATCCAACACGGCTGTCTGCAGCCTGTCGTTTCACCTTTATACCTTTTTCTTCTCCTTTTCAAAGGATACCGTCTTAAAGCGCTCTTTTTATGGCGGCTTTTTGGCGTGGGTCCTTAAATGCAGGTCAACGGCAGCGGACACGTGCGAATTGTTAACTACTTTCTCCAAGTGTTTGAAATGGAAAGGCAATGAAAACGGATAACCCTTGAGCCTAGGACAAATTGTTTGGGCGGAGAAATATATAAAGGTATATAAATATTTACTTGGAAATTTATTTTGAAACTTTAATCGAAGAAAAGCATTTACAAATTCAGCAAAGTTAGATTCTCAATTTAAGATCAGCAACAAATCTATCAAAAAAGTTGAAAAATATTCCAGGAAATCTTTTAAAATTAATAATGAATGGATGTTTTATATTTCGTACAAAACAAAAAGGACATTGAAATCGGATATCCTTTGTGCCAAGGACAATTTGTTAAAGCCGACAAAACGAATAATTTTACCAATTACGAAATCATTCCTAGCAACCCACTCAAAGGCAGAACCAACCTTTAATTATGCCCGAATTCAACGTAACCCTAAACAAAAAATGTGTATGGCCTGTGGACAATTCTTTTTCCTTTATGCAAATATGGCAAATGATATTCGAAAAGTTTACCCTTTTTTTCCTTGGGCTTGGGGGTCAATGAGGTGTCAATCCATGAAGGAACCTTTCGAGCACAACCATCGAGCAATTTACTTTAATCAACTTAAAACGCAATGCCTGATAACAAAAGTTTTTAATTGGGTTGTCGCTGTTTTCTGCCCAGCTGATGCTTTTGCTTTCCATCTTTTATCCCACACAGAGAATATTCGGTAGTCAAAGTTCTCAACGTTAAAAATAAAAAGTATTTATCAAAGTGACAATTTAATAGATTTTATATTTTCTGTCCTAATATTTAAAAAAAAAACATTTTTTTAATCATACAAAAAACTTAAAAAAATGTATAATAATAAAAATTCATTTTAATTAGTCATTGAACTTTTAAAAAAATTGTATTTTTATCTGGAAATAATTTCTATAAATTTTATGAATGAAAGACATTTTCCCCAGTGTATCCCCCGTCCGCTGTTGGTGACAACAACCAAAAAGCGAAGAGACAAAAAAGGAAAAGAGAAATTTCCTTTCTCCGAGTATACGAAATTTGTTCAAAGTTAAAAGTTAAGCAGGATTTTTCAGTTCCTTTCATAAATTGGGCCAGCAGGAAGGAGAAGCTGTTTAAAATGCGGAGCGGGGGGAATCACCGTTTGCAGCACTCCCCGTGTAATTATACAAAGCGAAGGGAGAAAGCGGGTTGTGCGGGGAGAGGGGAAGGGAGAAAGTGGAGAAAGGGCCAGCCAGCGTGGCTGGTTCATTGCACAGCCACTGGGACGCCCACGCAGGACACAATGCTCATGTAAGCGCACAAGTATGTAGGTCCTGCCCACGCAAACATTCACACACACAACCACCGAGTCAACGAAGTCAGCCAGAAGACACCGCACACAGATGCTAAGGACACACTGACTTACATTCAATTTAGCGTTCAATCACGCCGCTTAAACGGCAGCAACGAGGAGCAGACAGAAGCGCCAGACAATAGTTTCCTGATTGCATGGACACGGACAGCTTTAAGGAAATGCCGAGCCAGATGGATGGACTGCCTCCCACGCAGAAGGCTACACAGCAGGGCTCAGATTAATAGTAGCTTTTCTCAGAATTTTGAATTTGCTACAAACAATAGAGGAAATGCGTGGGAGATAAAGAAATTCATGCAGAAAAGCAACTGGCTGCACTGCTTAAATTCCATTATTTGCTCATAACTTTTCAATAAAAGTAAGGGGTATCTGATAGTCGAGGTTATTGAATATAGCGTTCTCTCTTGTTTTATACTTAAAATGTTATATATAACAATATTTAAAAAAGTTTATTTTGCGTTTTTTACAGTTGAGCATTTTTTAACAAAAATTGTACATTTTCAGTTGCTTTTAAAATTAAAAAAAGTTAATCTTTTGGAATTTTAACGTTTTGATTTAAAATAAGCCATTTAAAAAAAACAGTTTTTTATTTCCAAATTTATTTTAAAATTTATCCTGGTGGCACTATTAATATTCCGATCACAGTTTGCGAAAACGCTTACTGAAAATGGCATGTGGGCTTTGTAGATTTTGAAGGGAAACTTCAAATTGACGAGAGAGCCAATTGACAGGACAAAAGGCGAGATGCTTTCGCGCCAAGCGATTTGATAAAACTTTCAAGGCAGCCACACAACAATTTAGTGCCAGTGCATCTTGGGGGTTTTTCAGAATGGGGGGTTCTGTTGGAGGGGAGGAAAAGCCCCAGCCCCCAAGAGATTTAAGCTAGTAATCGGCTTAAATGACGATTCAAGTGACTTCCACCCCACGGGGATGCCCCTGGAAATTTCGAAACGACCAGAAACAGGACACCTGTGGCAGTGAAAGAAAAGTTTTGTGGGTTTCGTAGACCTCTATTCTCTTTTTCAATTTCCAAGCCAGCTTTGAAGTTTTTGGAAAATCGCAGGGGGTGAGGAAAAACCAATTTTAATTGCGAAAATCGATGGCTCGTTTATCTCCTCGAAAAAACCTTGAAAACCACAAGCGGCTTACAAAAAATTTACTCGAATTCCAGCTTAAAGGAAAATAATATAAGAGGTGAAAATAGGAAGATGGGAAAATCGGGAGGGGATACTAAATACTAACCGTGACCTTCGTCAGTTTGCATTCATGCGCAATTATTGGGTCTCGCATAATTAATGCGCATTTGAAAGTTACCCGAGAGTCCAAGTAAACAACAATAGAATCTGGCAAGACATGACAGATATCAGGTTCAAGGATAAATTGGCTTAAATTCAACTGCATTGAGTTCCAATTAGAAGCAGACAATGAACACGTAGCAATTCATTTTTCACTTAATCAGATTATCAGAAATTAAGTAAAGTGCCGACATTGATATGTATTTAATGCAAAGCTTTCCAGGGAATTTTGATTTCGTATTATGTATATGCTGCGTTCAAAATAATTGCATTTAATTCAACAGAATATTTTAAAATAATATGGTTTATACTTTAAAATTTAAATTAATATTTTAAATTTTCGTTATAAATACGTAAATTTTACAATCAGCTAAAATATTTAAACACAAATTAGTCATTTTAAAAAAGGTGCAAAGGCAAGGTAATAAAAATCAAATCTTAAAAAAATCAAAGTTGGTACCTAAACAGATCTTAATAGTTTTTGTATTTAATATTTATTTAATTAACTATTTTTAGCTGGTAAAATTCAACACACTTCTTAATTAACTTATGTATCAAATATTTATTTATTTGTAGCGGATAAAAGTCAACACACTTTCCACAAAACTCTTCATTTGTTTGAATTCCCACGACATTTCCTATGCCGTTTCAAGGAATGTTTCAAACAGATTATCCAATTAGAAGGCAACCGAAATTCCCAAAATCCTCTCGACGCCACAAAAACCAACAAAATGTTTGGCCCACAACATTTTCCGCTGCACTTGAATTATTAAATGGCAAGGCGAAAGCCAGTCAGTCTGCCGTAATTGTTTTTATTTATTTTTAAACTCGCGCAGGACCTTGTCAAATTACCCAAACACCACCAAACAGCAGCACACACACACACAGGGAAGCGCAGGATGCGTAAAGGATATTAAAGCGCCAAAAATAGCAAATGAAAGGGCTGCATTTTGAATGCAAGTGCTTACAAAAATGTTCTCACATATGTTTACAAAATGTACCAAATGTTTAATGAGCGCGCCACAAAAAGTCACACACAAATTCAGAACTTCACTTTTACTTGGCTCGGAGTTTCGCGACGAATTTGGTATTTGTTTGGCTGAAGCAGCTGGCGCAGCTTTCCACCTGGCTGGGAAAATCGGAAAAGCGTCCGTTGCTTATCGAGGCGTCAGTGTTCAGACCCACAGCTAGACTGACTGGCGGACCCAGGAGAATCCCTCGCATCACTCCCATATCACTCGCAGCAGCCGAGTCCTTCGGCTCCGCTTCGATTTGAGTTCGAGTTGCAGCTCGGGCGGCTTCGGTTATTTCGGCTTTGGCTTTGGCTTTGAATCGCCAACAGCAGCAGCCCTGGCCTAGAAACGTGGAAGGTGGCGTCAGGGAGGAGGGGGGAGGGGATTTGGGGTCTCAGGACTCAGGACTCAGGTGTCCGTCCGATAGGGTGCACCGATTTATTGACAGAATATGCACTTAGCTCCAACCAAACTTCATATCTATATCAAGATTGCTTTCAAAGATACTAATTGTTGATAGATTTTACGAATAGTATTTTTGAACTCGTATTATAATTTTTCATTCTTAATTTTGAGAATTAAAAAAATATTATTAGATATATTTATTTTAAATTAATAATATTTAAATCAAGGGTGATGTTATTAGTTATAATACTATTTATATTTCCTCTAACTATTTTCAATATGGAAAATAGAAATGAAAGATTACATTTTAAAAACACAATTAGTTTAAATAAATTCAATTTAAATTAAATTGCAAAATATAAATAAATATTTTCTACCTTTATTTAAATATGTAAAACGAAACTTTAACTTCAATATGCAGTTTTTCGGTGAAAAACAAATTCCCTTTTGGAATTTTAAAGACTTGTTTGGTTCGGTTAAATATTTCCGTAGTTTCCTTAACCCTTGAGCCACCCTATCGTTGTGCCACGGAGTTGAGCACGCGCCAAGTTTTGCAATGTGGAAAGTGGGGAAAGGCGAGGGAAAGCAGGGGAAAACAAGCAGCATCCAAGGCAACTGAAAACCGTTGCACTTGAACTTCACTGGCGGCCATTGCGGTGGCTGTCTGTCTGTGTGTGTTTTTGGATTTGCCACAGTGTGCGTGTGGTGAGTGAAAGTGAAAGGCAACAGCAACAGGTCGCGTGTGAGTGTGAGTGGGTGGGTGCTGCACACACTGGCATTTCCCTTCCCCTTTCTCTGGCCATTTCCATTTCCAGCCAGCCATCAATGTCAACAGCGACAACGTGTAAAAGGTCGAACGCAGCGATTTATATTTATCCTGCGGGAAAAAAATCAATTTGGGGGATTTCAGCAGGCCCGCCAAAAATAGAAAATCTACGGCGATTACCCCAACAATATGTTGCCTATTTAGCGGGGCAAAATGCTGCACAGCAAGAAATATTTTGGATTTGTTGACTCATGTTACTTAATTTAAAATAATTGCTATTTAGAAACCTTTTTTTGCCAATTTAAAAGAAAATAAACTAAAGCCTAAGTGATGTTTTATATGTTTAAAATATTTTAAAATTAATGTTGGCTTTGTTTTAATAATTTAATAAAATATATAAGCTCTATTAAACACGTTTTCCTTCTTTTACAAAAAACCACTTATAAATATTGCTTTAAAAAAATTTGAATAAAATTGATAAATTTGCCTCGACTTTTTCTCTCAGTGTCAAGGCGAAGACTTGTATTACCAAAAGGCACTGGGCAGCTGTTCCCCAATTACACACACAGCAAGCTAATGCACACAGACATACTCGTACTACATAAGCGAACCCATTCGAATGTGCGTCAATACATGGGCGGGGGTCACAGGAGGTCTGCTAAGGCGGCTAGGGGGCGGGGTCAGACTACTGTGCGGGTTTCATGCAGCAGGCAGCGCTACGGATTCGCCCACAATCGCAAGACACACGCCTATGCGAGTTCCGGAATTTGGGCAAGGTTTTAAGCTCGAACTTCTGCAACTCGAACCACCATCTGTCGGCATATGAAAATTTATTATATTCTATATTTAAAACACCTTGTATTGTATTTATCAATGTAATAAGAAAATAAGTTAGAGAAATATCTTTGCGGTGAAAAGAAAAGTTTATTAAACTTACAACTTGGAATTATGAGATGAAATACAAATTAAGTAAGTTAAAAAAACTACTTAAAATATTGGCTTATTTAAAAAAAAGTTTTTAATCATTATTAAAAATTGCAAAATATATTTTTGTGTTATTCAACATTTTTTTTTTGCTAAAGTACACATAGAAAATTATCAAAAGTGTTAGGTGCAAAATCAGGGGTGAAATTTGATTTTACTTTGGATTTTTAAAACGTTTTAATTTTTATTTTTAAAACGTTTTTACAAGAAAACGGCACCTACAACGTCGTATAATTTTCTCTGTGTAGACTTAGGCCCCTTTTCTCATCGGACGGTTAAATTTAATGTATGGTTAAAGCCTAGAAAATGTATGTGAATTTAGAGATTAAAACATTCTTTAAGTTTAAATTATTTGTTATATGCATAAATAGGTTAGAAAATCATAATAAAGCGCTTTTATATTTTGGCTATTTTTTTCATGGCCTGGTTCGAGTTACAGAAGACAGCACGAGGGTTTTATTCGACTTATTACCGTTTTAATATTTTTTAAAATCACTCACCGTTAGCGCGATGCCCACGGTGGCTGAGAAGGAGCCCAGCCGGAACTCGCCCGTGTTGTATTTGACCAGGAAGGATGTCTTGCCCACGCCCGAGTCGCCCAGCAGGATCGTCTTGTGGTTGACCGTATCGTCGAAGGGTGGCTGATGGGGGACGGTGTGCTGAGCGGGATGCATGTCCACCTCGTCGTAGCGATACGATCGCCACCCGTCGTTGTAGTCATCCTCGTAGTCCTCGGCGCCGTATGCATACATCTGCATGGCCTCGCGCGAGGGTCGATAGCCCGGATATCCGGTGGCTGAGCGCTGAACGGGCGCCATGATGGCATCGTCGTGGTAGTGATGGCTTCCGCTTCCGGTCAAACTCAGCTGGCTGTGATGATGGTGGTGGTGGTGGTGCGGGTTGGGATTATGATTATGCTGCGTCGTTGTTGTCGTGTTTATCGAGGCGGAAACAGAGGCGGGGGCCGCGGGGGGATTGTAGCAGCCATCGCCGAAGGGCCGGCGACGCAGCTCCTCGATCCTGGCCTGGGTGGTCTCCGCATCCTCGAAGACGTCGTCGCTCATGCTGCTCGCGTCGTCGGGATGCGCCGATCCAGCTGGCGCTCCTTGTCCTCCTCCTCCTCCTGCTCCTCCTCCTCCTATTCCCACCGCCGTGGTGGCCATTGGTCTCGATTTATTGGCTTGTGTCCTGGCTTTGAGCTTTTATCCTGAGCTTTCACTTAAGGCTTTCTCATTGGTCTAGTTTTAAGGAAATTCGCTAGGCTTTCAATTTTCGATTTCCTTCCTTGGCCTTTCTCTTCAGATTGAAACTATGTCAAGTTTTTAGGCGCTTCTCTTCTTTAAAAGCTGTTCTAAGGATTTTACGTGACCTGGTTTTTTCTCTTCCCTTTTAACGGTTGTGAATTTTAGAGTTTATCCAAGGATAAGCATTTAACCGGCTTAAATTTGTTTCTTTTTAAATATTTTAACTGCAAGCGCTCATTTAACTAAAAGCTCTGGTTAGTTGTTTAACCGCAGGTTATCCTTTTTACTTTCTCTTTATGTTTTTGACACTTAACGTTCTCTCAAAAGCTCGCTATAGCTTTTATCCCTCCCTATAATTTTGACATTTCCTTTGAGCTTTCTCTCATCGGCATTTCTCCGCTTTCTCTTTATGACTTTGACATTTACCGTTGTCCGTCGCTGCCGCAGTCGACGTCGCTGCCGTCCGGTTGTGTGGCACGTTTTCTGAATGAATTCGCTTTTCGGGGGCTTTCGGCGCGGTTGGGGGGAAGTTGAGTTGCTATTATTATTTCCTATTCGCTATAAGCTTAATATTTTCGCCAGCCTTATCAGTTGGCCAGTTTTCCTAATCGCTATTCGTTAGTTTTGCGTTCCGTACAATTGAACTAGGTATTGGTTTTTCCCCTTTTGTTGGTTGTTGGTTTTCTTGTCGTTTGGTGTTTTGTTTGAAGCCACTAATTAAATGTTATCTATGTAAATTGTAACTAGCTAAACATATTGACTAATATTTTATAGGTTATGCGCTAATTGGTGCTGTTTTTTCACTATCCATTAAATATTTATTTATTTATACGGTTTGCAACGATTTGCTTGGTGTTTTTTTTTTATTTACTGTTAAAGCTTTTGGTTAATTTCTTCTTTTTTATCGTTAAATATAATGACTTTCCATTGGTTTTGCGTCTCTCGTCGAAAATATTGCGATTGATTTGAGAGGGCTGGGTGTTGTTGTTCTTGGTGTTTTTGTTGTTGTTGTTGTTATTTCACTATCACAGCATAAATAAAATAATGTCATCGTCGTTGCCGCCCCCGCCACGCGAACCCTCGGCCAACATACAACTGGTAAAAAATATCTGCAGTCGCCACTTCCTTTCGACATCCTTTTCGAGCTTTTTTCAAGAGCGCCCTTGTGCTTTTACTCTCTCGCTTTTTCTCTTCATAGATTTGACATTTTGGAAAGAGTTTGAAAATGGGGAACTAGTTTGGGATTTAATTGAATTAATTATAAACAAAAGTTATTAAATAAATGTATTAATATGTATTAATTATAAATGTATTATTTAGTTAATTATAAATAAACTGATTCCCATGTCGGTAAATATATTATTTTTCGGGTCCCAATCATGTTCACGCTCCTCAGTTTTACCTTTCCATTGGTGAATAGCAACAGTATTTGGTGGCCGGTGTTTTTGGCTAATTCATACATCCAAGTCGGGTTTGGAATTGTTCTCTTTATGCTGCTGATCGTAAGGCGCAGAACCCTAACTCTTCTAAATAATAGGTAAGCTCTATGTAATCATGACAGAACTTCTAGTAACCAGTTCCCTGTTCCTGCAGAATTCGGGGAAGACGATCCAAACAAACTATTTAAGGACAAAATTGAAAGTATACTTCTCCTAAAATTCAAATTAAAGCAATTAATTGGGACAATCAATTTATATAATAAATATAAATATATGTAAGACTGCGCGCTACCCATGGGAAAGCAAGCAAAATAATTCCGATTATAATGCTAACTTCTTTATGAAATAAAGTACTAACATTTGTTGACTTTATTTAGTTTACTGTAAACAATTAAATAAATGCATAAAGTTTAATTGTTGTTGTTTTTAAACCTCCTAACTATGCCAATGGACGAGATTAATCTTAAAATTTCTTACTAAATAAGTGGATTTGAAAACATTTTAATTGTATTTAAATTCAAATTAAGGATATTAAGAAGGACCAGGACTCGCAAGGTTCGTGTCTGTACTAACCGGAACTGCATACGGTTTGTGTCATAGCTGAATGTCAAGATATAAACACCGTGAAATCAAAATATTGATGTGAAAAGGTAAAATCGGACGTCTATTAACCTTTCCCAAAGGATATCAACACAATCAGAAAACACTTAATTTTAAGTTTAATTTATTTATTTTTATAATTAAATTTCAAGAACATTCAACTATCGATATTTACAGTGTGACCAGCAGTGCCGGCACCGATAGGCGATAGGCGCCTTTCGATATCAGGTGGTGTCCAGTATGACCGTGTTAACTAAGCAGAGCAGCAGAACAGAATTGTAAACCAAACGCGAAGTTAAATTGCAAATAACGCGAATTATCAAACGATCCGCAAAGATAATTAATTAAAAATGACTGGTCGCGGCAAGGGGGGCAAGGGGAAGGTGGTGCGCGAGAATGCGACGGACGATAGGGACGATTTTCTGGTTTACGCGGCCGAGAAAATAATCCAAAAGCGCGTTAGAAAGGTAAGGCGAGCGTAAACAAATGCGAAAAGGGCGATGAAAACGAGGCGAAAAGCGAGAAATGCAGAACGCAAAATGCGCAGCAGACACAGGATATAGATATATGTATAGTCCGCAAGGTCACATGTCCTTCGACATTTTTTGGCCAGAGGACATCTGCTGCAGCAACCACCATTTGCACGCTGCATGTGTGCGCGTGTGTGTGTGTGTGTGTGTGCGTAGTACGTGCGTGTCTGTATGTGTGGCGTGTGTTTTTGTTGTTATTGCGCTCGATGGGAAAATCAATTAGTTGTCTAAGATATTTCCCGATTTTTCCAGGGCACCGTGGAGTACCGTGTGAAATGGAAGGGCTGGAACCAGCGCTACAACACCTGGGAACCGGAGGTCAACATCCTCGATCGCCGCCTCATCGACATCTACGAGCAGAGCAACAAATCCTCGGGCACTCCCTCCAAGCGGGGCCTCAAAAAGAAGGAGAAGGAGCCCGATCCGGAGCCGGAATCCGAGGAGGATGAGTACACCTTCACCGGCGACGATGTGGACTCCAATCAGGCCACCACCTCGGCGGCAGGATCCGGGCAGGATCAGCAGGAGCCGAAGAAGGAGAAGAAGCACCATCAGCATCATCACCACCATCATCATCATCACCACATCAAGTCGGAGCGGAGCAGCAGTGGCAGGCGCTCCGAATCCCCGCTGACCCATCATCATCCGCACCAGCACCACCACCACGAGTCCAAGCGGCAGCGCATGGATCACAGCTCCTCCTCGAACAGCAGCTCCACGCACAACTCCTTTGTCCCCGAGGCGGACACCAACTCGTCCAGCTCCGAGGATCAGCCGCTGATCGGCACCAAGCGCAAGGCCGAGGTGCTCAAGGAGTCGGGCAAGATTGGAGTGACGATCAAGACCTCGCCCGATGGGCCCACACTGAAGCCTCAGCCGGCGCAGCCCATACAGCAGCAGCAACCGCCCTCCCAGGATCAGCAGCAGCAGGCGGAGAAGGTTTCCAACGAGGCAGCTGCCACGCCGCTGAAGTCCGAGCTGCAGTCGGTCACCAACCCACTGGCCATTGAAGCCACCACAACCGTCACACCTGCTGAATCTGGAGCCGAGGAAGAGGAGGAGCCTCCACAGGTTCCTGCCGAGAACAACAACATACCAAAATCGTGCAACAACCTGGCCATCAACCAGAAACAGCCGCTTACCCCCCTCTCGCCACGCGCCCTGCCGCCGCGCTTCTGGCTGCCGGCCAAGTGCAACATATCCAACAGCGTCGTGATCACCGATGTCACCGTCAACCTGGAGACCGTCACCATACGCGAGTGCAAAACGGAGCGGGGGTTTTTTCGCGAGCGCGACATGAAGGGCGACTCGTCGCCAGTAGCTTGAGTAGCTGCGGCCCAAACAAGTGCCGGCAAAACGACGAAACGGAAACCTGAAACAATTGTAAATAGACAAACCAAAATGGGGGAGGAGCACTAACAAATCCGCACTAGATGTTGCTAAGCATTTTCTCTTTAGAACGTAACTTATTTATTGTATTTATTTATAGTGTAGTTATTAGTTTGTTGTTTTATTACAATGTTTGATGTGCAAGAGTAACCGGAGCAATCGCAAGTCGCTCATTTACTAAAATTCTGATTATTTTATCTAATTATTTTTGCTTAATATTTTATACAAATTATTGTGTTAACTTTTTAACCATCTCTGCAATAGGTGAATATTTTCCCATGTAAATTTAGTCTTTTATTCTTTACCGTCGTTTTTGCAATACCGCTTTTTTGAGCCCCGTCGATCTTTTAGTGAATGAACGAAATGCTGCGACTGCTTAACTTGCCACTGCAATAGATTGTAAAACCTGCAGCATAGATACAACATATGTATGTCGTACATATATTTATTTACCACATATTGTATATTTTTCTACAACACTTTGAATCTGATTGAGAACAACACAGGACACTCATATGCTACAAAACTCCATGCGAAACCGAAGCAATTGTTGATTACGCTTGATATACAATTATATACAACTGAAGAAGAAGCATATATATTCGAGTATGTCACCATGTTTGCCAAGTTGGCCATCCCAATGTTGTAATTGTTTAATATTATATTTCCTCGCGCCGACTGATTTTACAAAAGAGAACCCCAAAAAGATATATATGTAGTTCGATAAATATTTTTAGACTTTAGCTAACCACAATCTCTCCACTTAATATTTATTTTAAAATGTTCTACCATTAGCAGTCATATGCAAGGCTCAAGTGCTGACTTTATGGGTTCGTAGCGGTGCAGTGCACAGATAATTCCAAATCGATCCCATAGACTCGATACTTAACTCCTATGATTATTACACTATTTTTTACCGCTTTGCAAAAGGAAACTTCGTAGGGGCTGTGGGAAATGTACAAATATTTTGCATATTTCACATGGTTCCTGTGAGTTGAACTCCATTTGTGTTAGCTATTTATTGGCTAGTTTTAGTTACGGCGCTAATTCCACACAAAAAAAAAGAACTCAAAATGAATATTTTGAAGTCTGTAATGTAGTGTTTAACTTTAATGTTATTGCCGGTATCGATTGTACATAATAAATTAAATAGAAGCAACCAAAAGTGCCATGTTTGGGTATTTTCTACTACTGAGATTGATTTTCATCTAATATCCAGTCAATATCATCAATCTGCGTCGGGGGGAAATTAAGTCTATCAATTAACTAGCGATCTCATAAGGGTCGGTACTTGTTGATAAAGTTATTTATGATGGGCGCCACCTTCTCCGGTTCATTAAGGTGCACATGGTGGGTTCCTTCAACCTCGTGGAATTCGAACAGGGGATTCTTCTGTAGTTCGGCCAATACTTCATCAAAGTACTCCTTGCGTTCGTAGTAGGGAGCCTGCAGTGCCTTGATGAACAGATGCGGGCACTTGATCCTGCGCGCCATCTCCATCGGCACCTCCTGGTGCAGAGTGTAGAACAGCGATGACTTCAGTCGGTTGTCGCGGGAGAAGTAATACTTGTGCGGCTCGTGCGTCGATGGGCGGCAATTCCGCTGCAGCAGATACTTGCAGGCATCCAGAGACACAGATTTATTCGAGCCCTCGTGCAGCCGCGTCACCAATTGATCCCAGTCGTAGGCTGGTGGCTCGGAGCCACTCCTCAAGCGGCGTTCCAGCTTCAAGGTGGACTCGATACGTTCGCCCAGAGCATCCACAATACTGCGAGAGCTTCGAACGGGCGGTTTGAGCACATCCAGGCCCACAAACAGATCCACTTTGTCGGGGAACAAAGCACTGAACACAAAGCCATTGATGGAGCTCATCGAGTGGGCCAGTATGGAGATCTTGTCCCAGTTGTACTCGTCCATCAGCCGGCGGGTGATGAGCACCAGGTCGATGGAGTGGTAGGAAGTGCCGGCTGGCAGCCAGGAGGAGAGTCCATGCCCGGGGGCATCGATGGAAAGGAAGGAGAGATGCGAGGGCAGGAGCGGGGCCAAGGTGTCGAAGGTACCGGCATTATCCTGCCAGCCGTGCATGCCCACAATGGGTCTCACGTGCTTGGGTCCATACCATTTGCCCGCAATGTGTCCCCATGGAACGGGTATGCTGATTTCCTCAAACTGCCGAGAGAAAAAATCAAGGTCATTATTTGGTAATAATTAGGGAGAATGTGAGACCTACATGCTTGGAGTTAATGATCTTCAGGGGTTTGGTGGGTCCACTGCTGGAGTTCCGGACATTCGGGAGCAGTTTTAGCAGGCGAACACCTCTAGACACCTTCATTTCAACGTAAGATGTGCTATTTCCCTCGACTACTGTCACGTTCTTCTACCGCGATTAATGCGCCACTAATGTTCTGGCCGTGATTTCACCACCACACATGGACGGCGATGAGGCAGCGCTCTGCCAGATGAACTTTGATCTTGGTACGTAATATCTCAGAGAAACTATGTTTTTAGCAAGGTTTTTAATCTTGTCATTCGCTGGCGGCAGCTGGCCACTTGCAACACTGGTCATAAACTTGTTGCGCGGGTTTTGCAACACTAAGTCTTCGGTTATGCGTGGAAAGTTCCCGAACTTATCTGACATTAATAAAACGGCTAAATAATTTAGTTATCTTGAATCTAAAATCTAGTATTCTGATTTTGTTACTATCTAGGTAATAAGCTTTAAGTATGAATTATCTAAAATTCTATGATTAAATTTAGTCATCGCAACATTCACGCCGCATAAACGTTGCCGCCCATTCTCAAGTTTAACGAACAGCTGTAGATAAGTGTTTATGTTTTTCGTTTGCTCGTTGTTTTCACCTGTTTGCGGTGCGAATAATTAATTAAAACTATTAAAGGGAAAGCAAAATAAACAAATCCGGCAGTTCAGGAATATAAATAAGTGTATCATACCCCACAAAGCAGAGACAATAAGGAAACGTGAGTTTTGATTCGCCAAGGAGATCACCTTGACCTTTGACACCTTCAATGAGTCGCCGGCATCGATTCGGATATTAAACGCATTTAAATATATTTTTTACGATTTCTCTTCAATGTTTACTTTCGGATTTTCTATGTTTCTCCGCCTGTTTTCGTTAACTAATCGCCCTGCTAATCTCCACAGGTCGTTACTGATAAGCACCGAAATTGGCTAAACTTTGGAATTGGAGCTCATTCGGTTTTCAAGCAGAAATGGACTCGGACGACAACTCAAGTGGCACCGCCGGCAGTGATCTCGGCCAGCGTTATCGACATGCAGGGGACTTAACTGGCGAAGCCCCAACCAGAACGGTAAGTGTACTTTGAACTACTCCACTGCAATTTCCCTGGCACGCGGGTTAAATACTAGTTTTCCAGGAAATTTGCCAAGTAATGTAACAGATGCTGTTCTAAAAATAATTACCTGTTCTTTATCAACGTCGATAAAGTTCCATATGTATCTGAGTGACAAAATTGCATATACCTTTCACTGCAAAAAGCTTATATGCAGGTGCTCCCAGAATCTCTAAAGATAATTAAAAACAGTGAAACCGATTGTATTATTGTATTGTTTTTAATGATAAATAATACAAAATTTATATACAGTAATCGATATTATGTTTTTAGTAAAGATCACTCAAGATCTACGTAGATTCTACATTGTAGAGTACTCGACCCATAAAAAATATTGTAATAAAAAAAATAAAAAAGAAACTTAAAGTTTTGATGATATTTCATCTGTGTTTTTAGTAAAGATCACTCAAGATCTACGTAGATTCTACATTGTAGAGTACTCGACCCATAAAAAATATTGTAATAAAAAAAATAATAAAGAAACTTAAAGTTTTAATGATATTTCATCTGTGTTTTTAGTAAAGATCACACAAGATCTATGTATATGTTACATTGTAGAACAATTGACCCTTCAAAAGAATTGAAACAAAAAAAAAATAAAAAAGAAACTTAAAGTTTTGATGATATTTCATCTGTGTTTTTAGTAAAGATCACTCAAGATCTACGTAGATTCTACATTGTAAAACACTCGACCCAATAAAAATATTGGGAATGGAAAAAATAATAAATAAAACTTATAGTTTGATGATAAGATATAATATGATATTTCATCTCTCACTTGATTTTTCCACCTTTTCAGTTCGCAGAGATCAGCATTACGGTTCCGTGGGGACACATATCTGGCAAATGGTACGGCCCGCAGAATGTCCAACCGATTCTGGGTCTCCACGGGTGGCAGGATAACGCGGGCACCTTCGATCGACTGATGCCGCTGCTCTCGCCGGACGTGGCCTTCCTCTCGATCGATCTTCCGGGCCACGGACTATCATCCCGACTGCCCGATGGCTGCTACTACAACTCAGTGGATAATCTGTATGTGATTCGGCTGATCATGAAGCAGTACAAGTGGGAGAAGGTGTCCCTGGTTGGGCATTCCATGTCGTCCATTATTTGCTTTGTGTTCGCCGCTGTCTTTCCCGATAAAGTGGACATGATTATTGGCATTGATGCCCTGAAACCCCATCAGCGTCCATATCCCTCGGTTATCAGGACCATGGAGACCCGCCTGGATGAGTTCCTGCGCGAGGACGAGCGGAATCGCAGCAAAAACGAGCCGCCGAGCTACACCTACGATGAACTAATCGAAAGGGTGTATATCGGCACCTTCCATTCGGTGAACAAGGAGCACTGCAAGCATCTGATGGCCCGCAACATTTGCAAGTCGGAGAAGTACCCGGACAAGTACTACTTCTGCCGCGACCGGCGCTTAAAGTTCTACAACTATGCCATTGGCTCCCAGGAGCTGTGCGTGGAGATGGCCAATCGGATCACATGCCCTTACCTGTTCATCAAGGCCGCCCAGTCGTCGTATTTCGAGGACAAGAAGTACTACGACGAGGTGCTGGATGTGCTGGTGAAGAAGAACAACTTCGAGTACCTGGAGGTTAATGGCTCGCACCATGTGCACATGAACGATCCGGAGGCCATTATCGCACCGGTCAACAACTTTATCCAGCGCTTCGGACCGGCGGCCGCGGCTGCAGCCCGCAAGAAGGCCAAGGAGGCGAAGGAGAGCAAGCTCTAAAAAAGGAATTCACAATGGTAAATGGAGCTTATTTATTGTTGCACGTATTGCACAGGTTTTTATACTTAATTGTTGATTATGTGATCGCGACAGAGGACTCGTCCACTCTGCTATAAATACACAATGTACATATGCCGAGAGGTTTTTCGACTCCGATTAATGGGGAAGTCGTGAAGGATACTGGGAAACTGGTTATGCGTACAGCTTAACCCTTTCGGTAGCTCGTTTAGTTAAAATTTAAAACTTTATATTTTTCTTAAACTGGCAAAAAAAATACAGTTAAATTGTTATTGTAATGAAGAAGATTACCAAACTAAATCCAAACTTTATAATTAATCTAGGAAAGGTGTTTAATTGCCAGATTTATAATCTTTTTGAACAATATTTTATATATGTTCTTTTAAATATTTCAGAGATTAAAAATTCTTAAGTGCATTCACTAGAAAGTATAACTGTTTAAGACTTTACAACCAATAAAAATACATTTTCAAATAAACTAACTATATGAATAGTTTGTTATTTTTTTTTGTCATTTGTACCATAAATATTATTTCTTTTTTTCACTGTACTTAGGCTGAGATTTTTCAGTTCCCATGAAAAGAAGTAACTTGTCTTCCGATCGCCAGCAGTTGACCTACATCCCCTCCAAGTAGAATCCAAGCAGCGAAAGTGTTAATAACCCGCAGCAAACCAGTTTCCCAAATCCCAGCCGGCTGTTGCATCATTTTCTAGACTCTTTCTTGGCAACATCATCATCGTTTGCTGTTGTCGGTCCGCTCTGGAGGTCAGCCTCTGTCGGATTTACATGGAAATGATTTTTTAAGAGATATATATTTTTAAAAATAACTGAACTGAGGCAACTGGGAAAAAGAAGCCAAGTAAGTTGATGGCCCTGCGGCTTCCACATTTGTCTGCTCTGCACTCGTGTTGCTCTTCTGCTGAATTTTTTCTTTTGCCTTGGTCAGTTCCTGGGTCTGGTTCGCCGGGTGATAAATGATCTTGGACAGCCGCTTAATTTGTCTAAAAATGGTAACACATTTAGTATGCAAGAAGTATTGATTAAATTTAGAAAAACACCTCAAAACAAGCTTGGTTTATGTTCCTGAATTAGATATTAGTTTGATGAATGAACCGATCATAGCAACATAGTTTATAAGGCTATGAAAAATGGCTTTGAAAAACAAGATATTCTGACATAATCTGACAGTGATTTTAAATTTCTTCATTAGCGTCATTGAATAAGAGCCCTACTCTAAAAATAATTATGGCTGGAATGTGTGACACCCCAAAAACATATAATATAATATAATTTGTATGCAACTTGAGGGTAAAAATTATGAATTCAGACAAGACGGAGCGCGGGACTTTCAAGTTTGCAATCTAGTACAGCGCATTTTTTGCCGATTTCCATAATTAAAACAAACTTAGCCTCTGTTCAAATGATCAGCATGGCTGGTGGATATATTTGATGGAATTTTTCAACATATTTTTTTCTTTTCTTTTTTTTTGTTGTGGGTTTATGTACAGACTTTTTAGAACTAGATATAACTCATTTTCAGCAAAAGCACTGACTAGGCTTTAAATGGGGTATCCAAAATCTGGATCTAGTTTTGTGGGGGGTGGGCGGCAATGTATTCCAGGGCTCGAAGGATGGCCTCTGGAATTGGGGGAGGGGTGGGAAGGTGAGCACCTTGCGGCTGGAAGCCGTTCTCGTCGGCGACGTAGCTCAGCGAAATGGGGATGCCTTCGGGAGAGACGTAACGGCTTTCTCCCTGGACTCCGTTGGCGTTACCGGCCTCCTGGGTCTGGATGCCATTGCTGGTCTCAAAGGCGTAGTTGAAGTTGCCCTCGGGATCGGCAGGATCGGATTTCTCGCTGATGGTCAAGGCATCCCTGTTAATGTTATCCGCATAGGCATTGGCCAGCATCAAGGCGGCGAGCAGGCAGAGCGACTGAAATGGTGAAATACTCGGTCACGATCTGGGATCCTTCCGGTGGCGCCAATATCATCTTCTACTCACTAGCTTGAACATCTTGCTGGTTTCTGGTTTCTGGGCTGGTATAATCCACACTGGTTGGGTGATCTTCGCAGGCGGTGGCTTTTATAGCCAGCCAAACGCTGCGCCGACTTTGGCGTTGGCGTCTGTTTCCACAGCCACTGCTGACGTCTCTAATCTGGCTCTGAACTCCGAGCAGCCGCTCCAAACTAAATATCAAACTTAATACGTTTGTGTGTTTTTTTTCGGCAAAGAGCAGCATACCGATCGAATTTAATAAAATTCAGCGCAGCCGCCGAAAAAAAAAAATAGAAAGGAGGTTTGGCTTTGGTCACCGGAACGCGGAATACCCTTCAATATAGAAGGATTTTCCAAGAAGCGTATTCTAGATTAATTTAATTGTCTTTTTAGGCAACCACATTTTATTCACCACAATCGGTACTTCCCGCGGCATATGAATAACACCGGAAATTATTTTCTTAATGATTGATCGGTTTTATGATACGATTTGGGTCAAGTCTCACATGATATTTCGGTGTCGGTTTGTATTTAACAAAGGATATATTCTTAGTCTGATTGCTTTTGTATGAATTCTATTTTTCATTTTATATAAAAATATATTTAAAAATAAAAAAATGTATTTTTTAATTACAATAACAAAGGAGAAAAGTATTTCATAATTTGAGTTGGCTTTAATTTGATTTTAAGAACTAAGAACATTTGTTTGATTACTTTTACTGTGATTGTTTTATTTGGAACAATTTTTGATCTACTTTTAAGAACCAATAACAAGAACAAGTCCCTAAAATATAGATTTCATGTATTATTTAAAAAACACTAACAATAAAATAAGATCTTTACATTTACCGACTACCGATGATCAAACCCGTGATCGAAATGATAAAAACCTTAGCAAGGGTATGATGAAGCACCTGAACCCATTCCGAGTGGCTGCTGCTGATGGATCCACATCTGCGCCTTGGTAGCGGTAATCACCGATCTGACTTTGCACTTAATGGCTAATAGTCTCGGTTGGCTTTTGGGGGCTTGGGGTTTGGTTTTCGCGATGGTAATGGCAGTGTGACTGTGACATTCGCCCACCGAGGGTTACTTCAGAGACGGACCTGGACTTGGACTTGGTGGGGGCAGCCACTCGTGCCCGAGTTAATTTAATTCAATCCCATTTATCATTCGCTTCAATTTCGATTTCATTGGCCATTTGGCTGGGGCTTGGGATGAGAGCGCGCAGGCGGAGAACCTGTTTGCCCATCAAGGAATTCTTAAATTCCCCAAAAATCTCAGCAAGTTCAGCGCATTAGCATACAAATTTGCTGTCCAGTAATAAATTGCCTAGGCCTAAACGCACTTAGCACTCGGACTAATAAAATGCCCATCAATCGCCGCTCCACCTGATCTGGAAAACTTGTTCGGATTCGGCCTATCCGTATCCAAGCCCTAAAACCATGTTCTATGACGTATCCGACAGATGGCAGGGGCAACATTCACTAAAATTTGAATTGTTAAATGGCCAAAATTTAAATGTGCCAATTCACAGATAATTTGGCCGTCTGATTACCTTTATAAGAAATCTATATTATAGATGCATTCGCAAAATCACGGGACGTTATACAGCAGTTTTTTCTAACGGTTTACCAACAACTTTTTAATCGCTATTTGCATATCGATCCATTTATTTTTAAAACCTAAAATACAAATTGGACTCGTTGAAATATGAGACAACTTGTTTCCATTTATAGATGCAGTTCGCACTGCATAGACAGTAGGCTCTCAATAAAACAATCTTTTTCCCATCTCAAGGCAGGGTTTCCGTATAGAATCCGTACTCATCCACATGATATATAACCCGTAAGTGTCCTCCATCGGGCAGTTTGAATACAAAGTATCCAGGTATCGTTTCCTTGGTCACAAATTGATCTTCCGGTATGATAACATTCCTGATATTGCTCTCACTTTGGGAGTAGTTTTTGGCAATGGGCCGGGGTTCAACGTCCAGACAAATCACAACAAGCAGGAAAATCCACGGTAAAGACCTACGGATTATCCCATTAGATTAATTTGGATCTATAGCTATGGTTTCAATCTACCTGAGTTGGGAAAAATATAACATTTTATGACGTGTATTTCCTGGAGTCATTTGTGTGTGGCAAGAGTGTCTTGAAGAAAGGCCTACGGATAGGTGTGAACTATATTTAATTAGCAGTTTTTGCACACTTCCTCATTGACGGAAATCATTCTCAACAATTAACACCGATTTCCTGTGATGTTTGCGACGCTAATTTCGCAACAAAAAAAGAGCTTTGGTATAAATAAATTTTGTTAAACTTATCGCTTGGTTCGCTGGCAATTAATCAATTCGCCGAACATCAAAGTGAACTATTAATTAAAGTCATAAATGTAGGGTATCAGAAGATCACACATAGCATTGCTCTTGGCTGGACGATCTTCGGCGGCGGCGCTCCGGGTGACATGCTGCCAGGTGACCTTGTCTCCGAACCGATTTCAACACCTGCTGCCACTCCATTTGGAAGCTTCGATCGAGCCCACAGGGCGCATCTCCAATTGAAAGTTGTAACAAGAAATCATCTTCAACTCGCGGGGGGAATTTCCAGTGGTTTGTGAATGAGCCGCATTAAACAGCAATTTTTATTTGTTTGTAATTTAACATTTAGTGGAATCTCGTGCGAAACCGAAACCGAAACTGAAACCGAATTAAAGCATACAATATAAATTGTTGGCAAATGACTCATGTATTTTAACTATAGTTCAGCTGAGCATTGTTGTTATTGTTCCCCATTATTGGCGGTATGATAAGACAAGTTTTTGGCAATTATAGCCAAGCCATCTCTCGGGTCCTCGGGTTCGGAATAAAAAAACCCGTTTAGGTTGCCTGCAACTAAAGACAAGGGTCTCATCCATATAAAAGACGCACTTGAGCTGATCGAATTAAACAGTTGCACTGCAAGCAGCATCATCACAGCATCAGCTTTCAGCTAAAGAAACAATCTACCCAAATCAAGATGTACAAATATGTAAGTGGAAGGACCTACCTCCAAATAATTACCCTCGATTTAATTTAATATTTTCCCTATAGCTGTTCTGCCTGGCTCTCATCGGCTGCGCCTGCGCCGACAATATCAACAAGGATGCCCAGATCCGTAGCTTCCAGAACGACGCCACCGATGCCGAGGGCAACTATCAGTTCGCCTACGAGACCAGCAATGGCATCCAGGTCCAGGAGGCGGGCAATCCCAGCGGAGCTCGCGGCGCCGTGGCCTATGTGTCGCCCGAGGGAGAGCACATCTCGCTGACCTACACCGCCGACGAGGAGGGCTACCATCCGGTGGGCGACCATCTGCCCACCCCGCCCCCTGTTCCGGCCTACATCCTGCGCGCCCTGGAATACATCCGCACCCATCCCCCGGCGCCCGCCCAGAAGGATCAGCAGTAATCCGGAGTAGCCAGCCAATCAGATCGAAAACTGCGGCCAGTCATTGTTATTTAGGGGCGTTATTCTAATAGTTATCGTTAATAAAGAACGTCGAAACAGATAAAGATTTTTGTTAAATCTATTAATTTGGAAATGGAATAAGGTTAAATATTATAGGATTTTTGTACAATTTTAGACCAGATAGCAACACCTTAATTTAATTATTTAAAAAATGTCATCGATTGGTATTTTGGATATTGAAATTCTTTTTTATTTGGCTGAGAATGTGGTTGGGTTAACATTTATAAATCATAGCAAACGTACTTTAATACGTTTGAATATTTTCGCTTTTCGAGAGCACACAATGTTCTAATAACAAAATATTTAAATGATTAATTGTTTTTACTTAAGTTGTTATAACGATAATATGTGAATTGAATTGAATTGAATTGAATGAATTAATTCTTTTTACTTAAGTTGTTATAACGATAATATGTGAATATTCAGATTAAGTACTAGTTAAAGTTTTTTATCCAGATTGATTTTTAAACACGTCTGGAAAAAGTTTCATATTCTTTCTGGAAATCCATTGAAATTATTTTTGGAGCCCAAAAAGACGCAACAACTTCGGCAGTTTAACAGAGTCCGATTCTTTGAACTGCAATAACTTTCCGAAGACACATATCAAGGATCCGGGAGTTTCGGTCATCAGTATTAGGGCGTCTATTGCCTGATAATTAAACAGAAATTTAGATACTATTTATGTTATTCAAAGCTTTATAAACTTACCGAAAGCAAAGAATCTCCAGTATTGGACATTTTACGCAGATCAACACAAGAATCCATTACAAGGTTTATAGCTTCGAGAATCAGTGATTTATCTGCAACTTGCAATTGCAGCAGCAATTTTTGTGCATTTGTCTGCAATTTAATCATTTTTCGATCTTTGGTTTCGATTTTGGATTTTTTAGCTTGGAGAAAGAAATTATTCAAGTATGTATACAGGACAGAATCGTTGGAGAAGTTAAACATCAAATGAAACTTAAAAAGTAATAAGGGATTTTCCTCCAATCCATTCGCGACATATTCCTTCACAACAATATTATAAAACATGTTGGGTGAGTTTATAGGGGAAGTAGATATATTATACTTCTTTCCGCTTTTACAACTTGATATGCGCATTCTATCAATAGCTCTGTTCAAATCAAAATAGAACAGGCTGATCAGCTTTTCTCCGCTAACATATCCATTATGAACGGCTGGATGATTAACAACCGTCTTGAGATTAAACAATTTGCATCCAGGGTTAAAGAGAAGAAACACTTGCTGAGGCTCTATGGGAAATGGAATATCAACCCACAACATCGGGACCCGTGTTTTAGGATACGGTTTATTGCAGAACATAACTATATTAAAAAAAATTTATATTATAAATTGCCATATACCTTAAATATCTAGTTAATACATATACTAGTAGAAAATACATTATATTCTGTAATAGCATTCAAGACTATGGTCTCATATATTTACTAGATCATTTGGTTTCCCTTTTTTGTATACACATATTTTTGTTTGTGAGGGGATCGAATGGATCAAAGCCCATTGGTCGAGTATAAAGGGTAAACAAAATGAGAAAAATGCTGACAAACGGAACTTAAACGAAACTTGTCCAAATATTTAATCTTCTTTGAAGAAAAAATTTTGTTGCATTTCCATGAATTCTGACTTACATGTTTGGTCCCACTTTGTGACTGCACCTTTGAAAATAGAATTTATATTGATAAGCTCCTGATCTATTTTCTTCGATATTTCGTCTACATCCTGCATGTATATCTCCTGTTCAGGTTTTATGGTTGTTGATAGATTTTCTACCAAAATTTCAACCGCCTCGTTGAATTTTAGAGACATTCTTAGCTTTTTATTCGCTTTCGTCTTGATTCGGGGAACTACAAAATTAAATTGGAGTACTCTCTCAAATTAGGGATGGACTTTCCATGTTTCTTGAATGATAATCGCTATCGAAATCACTGCATTATTCGAGCTAATTTTGGTATATTGAAAAAAATGGAAAAATTAGCCTGGAAATTCCCTAAGCTGTTGAATTGCTAAATTGTTGAATTTTGGCCAGCTGTCAATCAGGTGTTCTCTACAAAGTCAACTTTCTGTTGTATTTTCAACAATTCAACAGTTCAGGGAATACCCTCAGCATTTTTATTTTTAACTAGGTAATAATTCAATTCTAATGATAAATTAAGATTTTTACAAATACGTTTGAAGATACAAAAAAGTAATGCGGCCCGTCACAAATTGTAATTATGTTAAACATTATTTTATTTAACGCGATTTACATTATTTAATTCAAATTTTACAAAACAATAGAACATTTTTCCATTCGACTATAGTTTTTATGTTTCGGTCATCATACAATAATAAAAAAAACTATAAATTGGAATGTTTTCTTTGTCATCTTGTCTCGTGTTAATGTAAGTGGAAAAGAGCTTTTAGCTCTGCCATTTCCACAGAGTCCGATTTTTTAAGCATCAATAGTTTTTCATAAATGCGTTTCAAGGGACCGGGATTGGTTGATTTCGGAATGATAAACTTTATAACCTGAAAATGTTTATAAATGTTATATACGAACTTGTCTTTAATGCTTGCCGCATAATGACTCACCTCAAGCAAAGTATCACCGGCACTGGTAGCTGAAGTCCAGTCAATCGAATAAAATATGTTCGAGCCAGGATGGATCGGCGAAGTGTGAATTACTTTTAATTGTGTCAATAAAGTATGCACTACCATATGTATGGTTCGCATATCGTTTGGATTTCTACCATACTTTTCATGGAAGAACTTATTTTCCTTGATGAAATAATAGTCGGAGTCATTAGAGAAACTGAACAGTAGACCGAAAATAAAATAAATCATTTCTTTGCCATGCCCAGACTCAACAGTTTTAATTGTAAAGGTATGCCAATTATCCGTATCAAGGCTTAGGCTAAAGGATTTTTCGCTTTTACAAACGACCTGAGAAATCCGGTCGATAACTCTGCTCAGATCTATATGAAACAGGTTAATTAGTTTATCGGCGATCACGTATCCATTCCTAACTGCTGGATGATTTACAGAAGTTTTCAGGTAAACAGCTTCGCAGTTGTCATAAGGATGAGCTCGCTGAGGCTCTGTTTTGAAGGGCATCTTAATCTTAAGAAACCCATTCACTATTTTAGGAATAGGATTGCAAAAAAAGGCATCTGTGGGAACAATTTAAATACATTATAAATACATTGTAATTGGAAAATAGATATTTTACAGTATTTTGTTTGTGTGTACGAGTACGTGTGTTTCAATTCACTTAACCTAAAAACCTAACCAACCCGGAGAGTGGTGTTTCCTCAAACGACTGAGTCTATGGACCTTAGATTACTGTTTTAATATAACTTACATGTCTTGTCCAAGTTCTGCATTGTACCCTTGAAAATGGAATTGATGTTGGTGAATTCCTGATTTATCTTCTCGGCTATTTCGATTGCAGCGTGGTCATAAAGTTGCTGCCCAGGAGTCGGGTTTTTTGCCATATTTTCTATAAGCAATTCAAGTGCCTCGTCCAATTTAAGCGACATTGCGAAAGTTGTGATTTTTCTTCGACTTAATTAGGGGAAAACCAAAATTGGATTGAAATCGAAAGTTCAATTTGCTGCGTCACTTCAGAAATTGGGGATGAGACATCTTTGTAAAAGGACTTATCGAAATATCACATTCCTGTGGTCACCGTGATTTATGGTTGCATGTGAGATCCATCGGATTTTTTTAAATCGAAGGAAATCCCATCTCTAGTTTGAGAACACAAAGTTGCGAAGTTTTTTTAAAAATTGCGAAATTCTGAATAATGTCGCTTAAATTAAACGAGGCTCTCGGATTTTTGATAGAACAATTATCCAAAGACGACATGCCTGATCAGCAATTGCAGCAGGACGCCGCCGAAATATCCACGAAACTAAATGAGGAACTAAGTAATATTAACTCGATCTTCAAAGGCACAGTGGGTGACTGGAACCAGTCGTGTAAGTTACTATTTAATTATACCCTTTACCCGTAGAGGGTTAAAGGGTATATTGTATTCGTGCAAATGTATGTAACAGGTAGAAAGATGCGTTTCCGACTCTATACAGTATATATATTTTGATCAAGATCACTAGCCGAGTCGATCTAGCCATGTCCGTCTGTCTGCAAGCGTTCTCCCTTGTTTTGTTTTTAATTTGTTGTAATGTGATTTGTTATCTTTTTATATTTGTGTTATTATTATTTATGTCAACTTCACAGAGCATGCAAGTGATGGTTTACCGTTTCTTGTTCATCAAAAAGAAGATGAAGAAAGAGTGTAAGATTATCATCTCTTTAGTCAATACTCTTCTAAAGTAGTATGGTTTAGTTCGAGTTTTGTCATACCCTATAAACAGTTAGCATGTATTTTATGCATATATAAAATCCTTTTGGTCAAAAAAGAGATTTTTGTGTCGTTGACTGATTCTATCTGTTTCTACTCTACTTAGCTTTATACTATATATCTGAAGAACACTAAGGTAATAAATTGGAATCAATAGGGTTCTGGATGAAAGGGTAAACAAACTTCGTCTTTCAGAGCTAACTGTACTCTTCTTTTGTTCTTTCTGCTTGAGTTACATATGATTGGAAAAGTTTGTAGTTTGTGGACGGTCACAACAAAACGTAAGAGTTTATTTTGTTTCTCCAATTCCGTTTCTTTAAGGTTTTTTCTTACCCTACACCACGGGGGTGCCCGTTCTGTATATTAAAATGCCATTTGATATTGAAGCTCAGCTCGTTTCCTCTGAGGATCGTTGGTGCACTTTTAAACTAAAGACAACTGTACATCATCCATCTGTTCAAAATGGTTATTTAAACGGTGTAAGGCTGAACCAACTTTTTTTCATAGACTTGATGAAAGCTACCGATAGAATTTCTCAAGAAAAGTTGAAAAGTGGCAAAACCTATAAACTTCGCGTTGACTTCGAAAAGATTGAAGGCGTAACAATTTTTAACATCAAAGTCTTCGAATATAAACATGAAAGGGTGGAGAGAAGACCCGCTTACCTTTATAAGTTTTCGCTTTTCATTAATTTTGGAAAAAGTTCTGACGGTTATACAAGCAAAAGCAATTTCTTTGCCCGAGCAGATTCGAATGTTCTCAAAACACAAGGATTTGTGAAATCAAACATGTTGGGCAATGTAGAAAAATTGACGATCATCTTGAATGGATATTTACCGCCCCAAATTACAAAAATAATATATGGTCCCGTCGACTGGAGGCCAGTTAACAATTTAGATGATGCTCTGCTCTTGGTGAGTTTATTATTGACACTTTCCCACTTAAACTTACTAAAACTAATCTCAGGTCATAAAAAGAACTATTCCGTTCATGGAAAACCCCGAGCAACTGTCGAGTGCTTACGAAAAACTAATGCAATTTAAGCAATCGGACACCGTTTCAATGAAAGAGATAAGAGCTCTTTTTGGTTTGCATTAAATGTATCTCAAGAAAGAATATGGATACATATAAAAAAATACTTATTCGTAAGATATTCTTACTTTCATAATTAATTTTATAATTAATCTATTACTTCTACTTTTTTGAAGTTCCAATTTGGGTTTGAATACATGTATTTTTAAGTCAACTTAAAAGGGAAATATGTAGCATTTATCATTTTAAGTTTCCTACATTAAAAGAACGAAGAGAAGAGAAACGTATATTGTCATTTTAAAACAGAATGTAGTTTGAATAAAGTAATCATTTAAGGTTATATAAAAAATTTAAAATTAAGCAATTTTTAATTGAAAAATGGCTAGATACAGAAATGTTATGACTAAAAATTATAAACTATAATATCTATCACCTTTTAGTTGGGAATGTTCATATTACATACCTACTAATTGATTTAATTCCGTCAAAAGAAAATAAATTATTTTTTGAAAACCTATAGAGAGGGTCAAAACTTTTTGCACAAAGGTTAATTAATCTTCAAAGTAACTAAAAAAACACATGTTTAACAAACTATACTTTTAGGCTACCGGCTGAAAATGAAACACATGGATTTAACAAATGTTTTTGAAATTCGCATTGTTTAATTCGCTTAAAAAATATGTTAGCTTGTATTTAAATTCGAGCGAGCCGAACTTGTTTCGAAACTTGGCAAATGCTCCCCTGCGTTCATTTGGAGATTGGTGATGGGTTTACCCGGAAAGAAAATTTCCGTTAATTATTAAGTCATCGAAAGGTCGCCAAACAGAACCGCGACTCATTTCCATCCAGTTTTCAAATTTCCATATCTGAGAATAGACGTAAATTAATTAATCAGACACGCAGACAAATAAAGCTGTTCGCAGTTAATGGGATAACAAGCTAGAATTCGTTGGGGTCACCCGAGATTTCGATTTTTGGGCGTGCCTTTGTTTGCTCTTTATGGGCGCAAAGACCATAAATTAACGCCGTGAAAGAATCGATGGATGGATTGATTTATAACCCAAGCAGAACGGCCCCAAGGTTTTGTAGAAGTGGTCAGAAAACATTTGCGCGTTTCGGCAGAGCTTAGAACATCTAGCAACAACTTAGTCTAGGTCTTGAGTCTTAAGATATGAAAGTTAGTTGGGGATTAGTACATGCTATATGGTATGTTCAGCCTTCTTCTTGGACACTTGCATCCAAATCGATGTGGATGGTGGACAATGGACGATGGATAGGATCCTTTCGGGCGCCTCAGAAGAATTCGCGCTTCTTCAGCTTTCCGTCCTCGGTGTGTGTGCGAATGTATTCCAGGGATCGTAGGATGTAGTCGGGTGTGGGCGGCGGCTGCGGCAGATGACGGCCCACCACATGGAAGCCCAGTTCATCGGCTATGTAGCGCGTCTCGATGGGAACACCCTCGGGCGAGATGTAGCTGTATATTCCAATGGTTTCCAGCGGAGATCCCGCCGCCTGGACATCGATGCCATTGCTGGTCTTGAAGGCGTACTTGAAGACACCCTCGTCGTCGGAGGGCGAAACCCGAAAGTCGGTTATCTGGGCATCCTGCTCACCAGTCGCACCCACCAATCTCCGGATCCGGCGCACCCTCACCAGACGCCCATCCACTTGGGCCATCCAAGCGAGGGCCAGGAAAACCAGGCCAATTAGCTGAAACCAAAAGAGGTCGTCTTATCAGCCATTATCAAGATCACACAGAGCAGGTAAGAAACACAAATAAAGCTTGGAAAAATATCGAAATTTCGATATTTCATATTTTTGCCCTTGAAAACATCGATATAATAAAAACAATATTGTGAAAATATCGCAAATATTGATTTTTTTCAAGATCTAATCACAAATCAGGGCAAAATGCTTACAAAATATCGCATATTTCTCGGTCTTATCTCCGTTTATCTTATTTCGCACAGGCACTGAAACACAACAGGCAATCTTTGATTGATTTTGTAATATTTCCCGATCCGATGTAATCCGCTGCGGAATTTCGACGTCTGCGAGGTTCAAAGTTAGCCACCGTACTGCCAATCCGGGCAGCTGGTCTTTTCCGTTTTTATATGTGGTAAACAACGGGCCAAAACGTAAGCCACGAAAATCTAATAAGCATAACCAAATGCCAATAATCGTTGGCTCCGTCGTCTTCTGTAGCGCCTCTCCTCTGAGATAAATGCTGCTACCCTGCCCACCAATTCTAGCTCTCGATAGCAGGTCATATCGAATCGTCTTGACTATATAATTCATTTCCGTTTATCATGCTTGCTTATTCATATTTTATGATTTCATACATCAGAAGCTAATAAGAGATGCTACTAAAAAGTGCTAAGTAGCGCGAGTTCTTGAAGATGATCCGCTGCCAATTTTATTACGAAATTTATGATGGCAGAGTTTCCGAATTTGGTTTTACCATTGTTATTCGGTCGCATTCGACTCAGTTGAATTAATAATATACTAGTTTCGATTTGGGTTTATTGCATCTCTCTAATATCTAACTGTTTGGCCATAGTAAGATGTCTTGTTTTGCCTAAAATTTGTTTTATTTATACAAATGATTTCACATAGAGTAAACCGTTTGCTAAAAGTATATATTTTACACTTATCCATCGATGATAGAACGCGTACCACATGTGGTTCCAAACACGGAAGCATTTTGGCGCCCAGCATGATCACATAAAAAAATATTAATATAATTTTTAGAGCCTTTTCTTGTTTGGATGCAAATTATGATCGTAAAAATCACGGAAAATAGGCCATTAAAATTATAAGAAGTCAGTGGCGTGGAATTTGGATTAACAGAAGGCTTTTTAACGATTTTTGATTTGTTAATCTGGCTGAAGAAACTTAATTAACGGACAGTAACAGTTCCGTGTGGAGAATAATGGCGAATGTGTATAGGCTTACAGGTTCAAAAGCAGACTGATTCTTGTTTTCAATTGAGTCGTAGCAGCAAGTTCGTTGCCTGAGTCTTTTGTTTCTTGCTCCATTTGCAGGAGCGCAGCATAAATTATGATAATTTTGGAAGAACATTCAGCATAAACAGCCGTTGTTTATGCTGCCATTTACATATTGCCTGAATTAATGTTCTCAAATCTGTCAGATGCCCGAGGGGGTCACCCGCAGAGTCATCGTAGCAGCAACTATCTAATAGTTCACACACGACGAGAAGATGATTTCTTCTGCCAGTAGAAGGAGGAGAACTGGAAAAGGCAGTTCATTTGTAGTTTTCGATTTTTGGTTTTCGGTTTTCTAGTTTTTCGTGTTTGCGTTTCGCAACCGATTCTAAGGCTAAACTATTTGGCGTCGATTTGTGTTACTTAATTAATGTTGTTCGCGGAAAAAAAAAGATTTCAACTCGTTTGACTTGAAGATTTATGTCTGAAAATTAGCCGAAGATTATTTTCGCTTCATGCTTTCATCTGCGTCGAGTGCCCCTCTTTTGCTATGTAAATCCTCGAAGACACAGGCGTTGTTTCTTAATTAGCAAACACAGTGTTAAAGGCAAACAAACATAATGCACATATCATTAGGCAAACACACATGGATTCTGATTGATGGGCTGATTGATTCTCCGGACCGACACCTTGACGAGCGGCGACTTGTAAAGTTGGGGCTATGCAAATCAACGGGGTGCGGGGCTAAATCAGACAAGTCGTGCAAGGTCTAGGTCTGCATAGCTCCATATTCCACACAGTGGGTAGAAACAATAGGAAAAAGTAAATAAATTACTTATTTATTTATTTCTAAAAATAAAATACAAATTATTAAACAAAAATAAATTAAAAAATAAATGGCATACTGATTTAAATTTTTAATTTCAGCATTCTCTCATAAAGGATCTTTACTTTGAGGCATCTAAACAACCCGTTTCGAGCACTCGCCAAACAGAAGTTATTTGCTTGGCTAAATAACTCATTCAAACCGAAAAAAAAACCCCGAATCAACCATGATCAATGGCTGTGCAGTAGAAACCTTTAGCATTTCCAGTTTCGCCTTTAATCGCAAAACAGTTAATCGAATAATCAAAGTTGACGTATTGTATGCATATTTAGCACGCCTCATTAAATCAAATTAATATATTTGGTATTGGCTTTTTAGTTGCGAATCAATTTCAACCATGACCTTTTACAACCAAAAATAGAATCTAATTATAATAAATTAATAACTAAATGGCACAATTTGTCAGAGGCGGGATGTCCGCAAGTTGGACGATGTGAATCATCATATCATCTTAGTTGAACCAATGTGCATAACTTTCGATTTCTGATCGGTTTGCTATGCAGGCACACCTACAAATGGACCCCGAAAAATCCAAAACAACTTCATTGTCAGGCGATAATGGCCGGGCATTAGCACAAAATCAGTATAAATCAATTCCCGGTCTTCGAACTTGTATTTTTTTTTTTGGTGATAATGCGTCTGCTTTTTGGTTGCACCGATTCCCAGCTTATGATTTTTAGCTTCCTCGTTTGATGTATTTCGAGAACCGTTTCCAAAGAGAGCTCAAAGATTAGGCGGAGCTCGAAAGCTTCCTTTTCGGCCTCGTCAAATCTTTTTTGGCCAGTTTCAATTTAACTTTCGAGCGCAGCAGATCGCGTCGCATTAACTCTGCTGCCTTTATAACGGTTAAAACTCGGTTCGGTATCAGAATATCAGTAGTATATCAGGTTCAGAATCCACAACGTAAAAGCAAACATTTGAAACCAAATTTAATTAGGCGATGATGTCGTTTGGCAAGGTTTGTGCAATGTCTGTGTCTGTGTATTTGCTGCTCCATTAAACCTCCCCCTAAAATCCGATTCGATCAGCTTGCGGGGCTCCTGATCCTGGTCCACCTAAACCATTGTATCGGAAATACGGACAGGACCATCTACTACCGGAATACCCCGCCCGATCCCTTTGGTCACTACAACTTCGAGTTCCAGACCACCAATGGCATCACCACCAAGGGAGCCGGGAATGAAAATGGAGCCGTCGGCGTGGTTCAGTTCGTGTCCCTCGAGGGAATTCCCGTGACCTTCTCCTACGTGGCCGATGCGAATGGCTACCAGCCCACCGGAGATCTCATTCCGGCCATTCCGCTGCACGTCATCCGCCAATTGGAGTACATCCGCTCACATCCGCCGGTGGACGAGCGTCGGTCGAGGCGTTGGTAAAACTCTCGGGTATCCGAAAACAATTATATATCGTCGCTTTACAGTTGGGGAATATTTTTATTTCGTATTTATGTTTATTGTTTTTCCATGCAAATGGGACATACGAAAGAACAACAGCGCGCCAGCAGCAAAATCATGCCAAAATATATAGCAAGCCAATAAATATTGTAGAAATATAAATAAAGTACTAGACTTAATTGATCTGATCGTTCTGGAATTCCGGAAAGTTTACCTCTAGGAAAGAAGTTTATCCAATAAATAGCAAGTATAATTCGTTAAACATTTTGCAATTGCGAAACTGGAAAAAACGGTATCTTTCTGTATGGTAATATTTTATTAAGTTATGTAAATGGTTATTGTTCATTGTATCAATTGTAAACCCAATTTTCCACAGTGTAGAAACCGGCAACTATTACCAATGAAATATGCTAAGAATGTTTTTTAAAAACTAAAAGATTTATGGACTGCATAACTAATCGGAATCATGTTTTCTATGCTAATGACGAAAAAATCGACCCCACCAAAATGTCAGCTTTCATCAATTCACATTTGCTGTGGCTTCTTTGTTCTGATTTTATACAGATTTAATTTATAATTCTATTACCATTTTTTCGCAGTGTAGAAACCGGCAACTATTCTTATAACATACCTAAGAATGCTCTTTAAAAATAATGCTAGGATTTATGAACTGCATAAGTAGCCGAAATCATGTTTACCATGCTAATGACTCGGGAATTTAGCGCTCTAAAATGTCAGCTTTCATCAGTTCACTTCTGCTCTGGCTTTTTCGTTATAAAAATGTCATACCATTCCGATCCGATCCGATCCGATCTCCGACCTTGTCTTTAAGAACGACTTTCGCTTTTGCGGCAATCAACGAGAAGATTGCGCCTGTCGCCGCTCATTTGCATGTGGGCGCCTAATTAAGGCCGTTGCATAATATTGACCGACTCTTCAAGACCGACTTAATGTAACCAGACTAATAAACCAAATTGAGTTGACACCGTTTAATGTCACCGAAACAAGTTGCTGATTGATGCGAGCCTAGCTTCAAATTAATCCCCCATTTGGTTCCGGCCTTGGGATACACAAATATCTTAAAGCGATTACCGCAGGCATCTCCAAAAAATCATCATCTTGTAAATGAATGAATGCTACCACCGCTGCATCCCAGCCACCAGTTAGTTCGTAGAATATCCCATTGAAAACATATTAAAATATGAATTATTCATGGCGGGTTCGTTTATCTGATCTTCCTCTCAACAGATCCATTAAGCTGCTCAATATGCATTAGATAAATGACAAACAACCCGCAGGCGAAACCAGGCAATTTGTACACGTCCTATTTTTGGATCCGAAACTATCAAATAAGCATTAGTTGTTCGATCTATCTGATCATGTTCGTCGTCCGAATTTATCTAGAAACTTTATCCACGTGCCAATCCGGTTGCAGTATTTTCGGTTGTTGCTTTCAGATTCTCAGCATTCGCTGATTTATGAATCGGAACGGGGCATAAGGCTTTAATGACTGTCTAAATTGCTTTTATGCCACCGCTGGGAGTTTAGCATCCAACTTAGTATTAAATCTTATTAATCAACTACCTGAACATTTAAATATCATACTAAACATCAATAGCCAAAAGGTGTTGGGCAATTAAGAACGAGTCGAAAGTTTAGCTATTAAATATGAATGTTTCGAAATTTTATCATTCATAACTGATTAGTCTACTTTTAAAGGTCAACGCCCCTATAGACCACAGACTTGAGAAATGAATGTTTGAATCGCTGCTGACAATGTGTAAACGTTGGGGTTACTGCCTGACTTATGAGCCATCTGTATTCATTGGAACAAAGTTGTTTAATTATCTTATCTGAATTGATTTACATGCATACCAAATTCCAGCGATCGCACACAAAGCTAAAAAAGAAACATGGAATCGATGTTCGTTTCTTTACAATAATATATTTCAAGTTGCTTGACATATATATACGTGTGTATTTCTGGGTGTGTTTGTGGGTTATTCAAAGTGGGTTACGGCTAACACACACCTAACGTTACAATTATACGGGGATCACGAGTTTTTAGGAAGCCGCATTAATTCTGAATTTAGTTGGACCGATCTTAATTTCCATCCCATTTTGTGTTTAAATCGATTTTATTTAGTGTAATTTTTGTGTTGGCGTGTAAATACATATTTTAAACATATTCCAAGTATCGCACATAAACTCTATGCTTACAGAATTTTTGTTGTCGCATTCATTTTGCTGTTTTGTCTATACTATAACTAAACCTAGACACGATTTTTTAGTTTTTTGAGGCGGCCAGAGCGATCCGGGTTGAGATCTCTGGCAGCCGAGTGCGAAACGGACCGAATGAACAATTTGATTGATTGAATTACGTTTATCTTCTGGCTCGTGAATAAGAAATCGTTAGTTTAGTTTACTGGAGTGTTTAATACATATACTAGATGTAAATATATATTGAACAGTTCATGTGTTCAGTGTTGTCTGTAATCTGTAAGGTTTGTTTTCGGTTTTGGGTGTGTGTCCGGTTGGTGTGTTGGTTGCAAAAGTCCTCCAGAGATCTTGAGCGCGCCCACAGCTAAAACCTGCAGGAGATTATAAAACTTTTAGTTTCGCTTATAAAGTTGGTGTTTCCTTTAACTCACCAGTCCTCTTCGCATGCCAGTATGGTGTAGTGGTCACGGCCCCGCCCCTAGGGCCAATCCTAGTCGGCCTTCGTCTCCGTGAACTCTTCGAGGGCAAAGAAGCTGCCGCCCGAGGCGCCGCCACTGCTGCTGGCCGTGCTGGTGGCCACGACGTTGGTGGTGGATGCCGTGGCGCTGGATGCCTCCGAAACTTGCACCCCCTCGCCTGCGGAGGCGGCAGCGGCCTCCTTGTCATCGGTACTGCCGGAGGCGTTGGCCGCCGCCGCCGCCTGCTGAGCGGCCTCCAAGACCTGCTGCTGCACCTGGACGATGGGCTGGCCATCTTCCGTGTACGAAACGGACACAGGGATGCGTGTGCCATCCTCGCTGATGACATGGGCGCCCTCCTCACCATCCTGGCCCTGCTGGATAATCAACTGACCCTCGGAGTTGAGGAGCGAGGCATCGATTAGCTGCTGCTCATTGTTGTCGCCATGGACGAGCACCATTTGGCCACTGCCGTCGGTCATCATCTGCAGGGTTTCGCCCTCGAGCCCATCGCCCGACTGCAGGACGCCCACGCTCTGCAGCAGCTGCTGGATCTGCTCGGGATCCTGAACAATTATCTGGTTGCCCTCGGCGTCGGTGAGGATGTGGTTGTCCAGCTGCAGGAGATGGCCGTTCTCGTTGACAATGAACTTTATCTGGCCGCCATCGACCTGCGCCTGCATGGCTTCGTCCAGCTCCATGGCCACGTGCTCGCCACCGGCAGCCTCGCCAGCTTCACCCTCGGCTCCTGTGCCGGCGGTGACCTCGCCTTCGCCAGATTCAGCGCCTTCTGCGCTAGCGGCAGCAGCCTCCGACTCGGTTGTGGGCGTATCGGTGGCCTCGCGCTTCGCCACGGCTTCTCCTTCGTCCGAGGGCTTCGGCTCCTCTGGCTCCTCCTTCGCCTTGCCGCTTTCCCCGGCCTTTGCCTTGGTTTTCTCTTGAGCTGCCTTACCAGTCGCCTTGGTTTCCTCTGCAGCCTCAGCTGCCTCGGCAGCGGCAGCTTCATTGTCATCATCCAAACTGGGCATGGAAACGGGAGCGGCATTGGACTTGCTGTCTGCGGAGGCCTCGCCGCTTTCTCCTTTGACTTCAACGCTGCCCTGCGACTGGGACTCGTCCTCGGCCTGATCGAGGTTAGGCATATCGATGCTAACGGAGACGGGAGCTGTGGCATTGGGCGAATCCTTTTGCGACTGATCGCCGTCCGGTTGCGGGATGGTTATGTTGAAGGTGATGCCTCCGCTGCCCTCCTGCGAGGTGATCACCATCTCGCCGCCTTTGCTGCCCGGCTTGCTAGCCTCGCCGCTCTCGTTCTTGTCGGAGTGCAGCTTCTCGAAGAGGCTCTCGATGTCGGCCTCGGCATTCTGCTCGCCGCCCTCGTCGCCAGTTTTTCCAGAGGCCTCTCCCGGCTCATCGCTCAGCAGCGCGGTGGCCGCCGAATTGAGGGCCGTGGCCCCGGCGGAGGCTCCCTTCTTGTCGCGCCTGTGGGTCTCCATGTGGTGGTTGTAGTACGTCTCCTGGATGAACGTAAGCGAGCAAATGCTGCACGAGAAGAAGCGTATGTTGTTCTCCGCCTCGGTGGTGGCGGCCACCACAGCAGCATTGGCCGAAGCAGGCACACTATCGCTCAGTGCCTCGTCGATGGTCTCCTGGAGCAGCTTCTGGGTGTTTAGATTCTGGCTAACCGGCTGCTTGGGCGAGACGGCCGCTGCGCTGGGATTCTGGTGCACTTCAAAGTGCTTGACGAGCAGCTCCCGCTTGGGGAAGGTCATCGAGCAAGTGCCGCACTTGAAGAAATTGGTCTGATGCTGCTTGGCGTGCACAGTGGCCGCTTCGCGCGTCTCGAAGCGCTGCGAGCACAGGCGGCACTTGAAGGGCTTGGGTTTACCGGCCGAATGCTTGCGCATATGCTCATCAAAGACGCCCTTGTCGGTGGACTTGAACTGGCAATGGTTGCATGTGTACAGCGAGGCACCCACCACATTCAGATTCTCGGTGGCGGCGGCAGCAGCGGCGGCCGCAGCGGCAGCCACCGGAGCAGCGGCTGCCGGTATGGTTGTGGTGCTGGTAACCAGCACATTGGTCGCATGATTCGTCTCCATGTGCTTGCGCAGACTCGTCTCGTTCACGAAATTAATGTGGCACATGGCACAGGTGTTGTCCATGGCGGTGTTGTGGTCGCGCACCATGTGCTGCTTCATGGCCCCGAAGTGCGGGAAGATCTTGCGGCAGGTCTTGCACTGGAAGGTCTGCTGCTTGCAGGTCTCGTAGTGCGTGTTGAACAGACGCATGTCGGAGGTCTTGTAGTCGCACGACGTGCACTTGTAGATCTTGGTGGCCTTGCGCTGGACCGTCTGGGTGCCCGGGACGCTGCTCTGTGCGGCTCCAGCGGCGATCTTGGTCTGGCCTACTATTTAAAAGGAGAAATAGCTATATTGAAGGCTTTGGAATGGCTTAAACTGAGAGCTAACCTGGTGTGCCCTGCAGGACCTTGCGCGGACGCAGCTCCCCACTGGGACTCTCCTCCAGCGAGCGATTGGCCGCTCCGGCGGCCATCTTCTGCATCTTGAGCGGCGGACTGCCGCCCTCCAGGCCCGCATCCTCGTTAATGGCATACTTCTTGTTCAGCAGACTGATCAGGTTCGTCTTCACCCGCTCCACATCGTTCTCCAGGCGGTCGTAGTAGTTCACGAGGTTGGTGCAGCGCGAGCACACGTAATCCTCGCCGCAGACGATTACGAGGAATCCCTCGCCCACCAGCTGGGCCAGCTTGTTGGGAAACTTGGTGGCCGTGTGGGTGGTGCACATCTCGGTTAGCGAAGTTTGCGGCTCGCAGCGATCGTCGCAGATGTAGCAACGCGTGGCCAGGCCGCCGATTCCCACGCTCCCAGCCTCCGCATCTCCTCCGCTGACCGCCTGCTGCTGCTGTTGGGCGGCGGATGAGACTCCGCCGGCGGAGGAGGCACCTCCTCCTCCGCCGCCGCCACCGGGAACCACTAGACGCGTCGTCTTGAGGATTCGCGGCTGACTGGGACCGGTCACAGTGACCGCTCCGCTACTCAGGAGATTGTTGAACTTGCGGTAGGTGGCCGGGTTCAGTTGGTTGTTCATCTCGTGGCCTTTCGCTGGCGGTTGAGGCTGAGCACGCCGTGGTTATCGTTTCCTTTTTAGCGGGCGCAACACGCGCAACTGCAAGCCGCTTGCTTTTAATTTCAATCGGCGATTACAAAACTGCAGTCTTTTGCACTGCGGCTGCTCGCGGGGGGCTCACTTTATTTCTATTCCGGATCTAGAGCTACAGCTTGGCCACACGCACACGAATCGCTCTTTTGGTCACCAGGGCACAACAATCGTCCTCCGCTTTTAATATTTTTTTGATTCTATTTGTCGCGGCGGCGTCACTTTGACTGTACTAAACACTCGGTGCTGTATTTTTTAGGGTTAAAAATGCAGCGGTTCTTCTCTAGCGCATATGGTCGTCTCGCTCTTTAGCACGCTCGTGGCCCTGGCACGGCGGCAGAGCATGGGCTAGTCGTCTCGCTCGCACGCCACGGAAATGGCGGCTGCTGGGGGGACTAGGCACGGTCAGACTGCGAAAAAATATGACAGCGTTGCCGTTTTGCATGATGGCAGAACAATTAACAGAAGTAATAACATAATTAAATAGTGTGCTGGGTTAAAAGAGTGCTTTATAAATCAGGAATATTTTTTGGCTTGCATTTATGTACAAGAAACTTTGTTTTGGTTGATAAAGAGTGACGTGTCTTGTGTGTCATGCAACGTCATACAGTTTGAAGTTTCCTTGACCACCAACAGAGGGCGCCGTTGCCCGCGCATTTTGAATGTTTGAAAATGCAAACCAAAAAATAACTCAAATACTTTAACCATGAGGTAAGCAGTAAATACTAGCATTTACGCCATGATAAAGGCCGACATCACTAATGTGTTAATACAGAAGGCCGATAAGATTTCAGCGCTCCAATTTTAGGCATTCGATTGGGTTCTCTCACACAAAGGCAGCCCAGTAAATACTTTCTTATCAGCAGCAGAGATAATATAATATTTATCATCACTAAAGCAGAACATAACTTACGGCCGATAAATGTTTCGGCCAAAACACAGTATTCAGTTAACGAACGAAACGAAAAGCGAGCGGATTTCCCCTCAGAATCGAGTGAAATTAAAATAAAAAATAAAAATAAAAGCCCCAGGGCAATTGGCTTTTTTTAAAAGACCCATTATCGCTGGGCTATCGGGAAATAAACGAGTTGCAAACCCGTCGCGAAATTCTATTGTCCGGCCCAATCGTTCAGTTGGCCAACGGACGTCGCGTACTGCAAAAGGCACTCAACCCGAAAGTTAGATCGATTTAAATCCCGCATCCGGGGCGTGAGAATATAGTGATATAAGCGAACTGCAACATGTATCCACCACCGCCTGCGACGAGAATCAAGCACTTTGGCTCCCTCAGAACGGCTGCAGTTTGGGCCGGAATTCTCGGAGTGGTAAGTCAACAGTTGGGAGTCACTGTCACAGTCACTGCCAATCGACCGCGACCCCATTCCATGCCCAATGATAAGAGATACGGACAGATATCGGGGGAGCTGACATTGGAAGCACTCACTCAAATTGGATGCCCTCTCTCCATCGGAAAGTCCACTACTCCACATGATCGCTTGATAATCGTAATATAATCATCATTGACTCATTTTCGGGACGTTTCCCAGACTGAAGAGGAATTGATAACCACAGTGCGATTGACGTGTGTAAACAACTGAAGGAACAAAAGATCTAGATAGGGGATTTTTTAGAAAAAAGGGAGTGATAAAAAGAAATGCATTTTGAAATCATTTCGATATGAGTCATTCTAGGCCTTTAGAAGGGATCTTCCAATTTAATAATTACATTAAAGAAAATATTACAATGTTCATAATTAACTAAAAACAATTTAACAACGAAAATCCTTCAAATACAAATTCAGAAAAATGTTCTATAATAATAATAAAATATATACAATCTTCTCCTAATTTTTTTTAATAATATCTGATATTAATACACATTTTCCTCTCCGCAGGCTCAGTCTATCATCTGGATGGGTCTGACCATTACAGCGATATGTGCCTTCAATTGTGTGCTTTACATTACGAATGACCTTAGTTATGGGACCATGGTCAAGACGGTCTTCTTCGATCTGTACTTCAAGGGCGGCTGCAAAATGAACCCCGCCGATTACCAGAACTACGACCAAACTATCCTGAATTCAGTGACGACCGTCTTCGATCCTACTCAAATTTTGATCTGGGATTCCGTATACCTCGGCGTTTCTGTCTGCTGGCTCATCGTCTCCATTGTGCTGCTACTGTGTGAGTAACTTAAGAACCGGAAATTAACTGCATACAATAGTTAAGATATCGCCAAGTTTTATGATTCACTCGGAGAAATCTAGGAATTTCTTTTATCGGGCAGCCAAAACTGGTGATAAAATCAAAAGTCCCTCGACTGCCACAAAGCCATAAAAGCCAAATAAACAAAATAAAATGATAAGTTTGCTTAAAACTTATATGATGGGTTGTATAATGAATTCATTGATGGTTATTCCCCACAATATTACTTTCTTTACATTTGCAGTAGGGTTAGCGTGGAGTTACTTGGTATTATTGGAGCCAAAAGACAATGGGATTATGAAGAAGAATTCCAAAGTAATTTAACTAACAGGTTTATTTACGATTTTTAAGATTTTTTTGTTTTAACGGATGGGTACTTTTCTCAATTGGAACTGCAAACTTTATCTTATCTTATATTTGACCATTTAAAATACATATTTTTAAAACATATTTTCACAATTTACAACTGATATTTACATATTTTTTATGTATTTGATATTTTCTGAAAAAAATAAAAACCTTATTATACTTGGTAAAATTTTTTAAAAATATATTTATTTTAGTAATTAGGTACCTAGTGCTTTTTAAATAATATTATTTAATGACTTAATTATAAGATTGATTGATGTATCGCCAATAAGTAAACCCATTTAAGTATCACATGTTTAGGGCGATATTATTTTCGTGACAGTCACTTAAACCGCCTGTGATGGATTATGCTGTTATTAATGAAATATTTTATACTCTACTATTTATTTTAGGGGTGCGCAAGGACAACGTGAAGCAGACCCTGACTGCCATATACACTTGGGCCTTTTTCGTGGCCGCCATCTGCTGCATGGACATTGCCTCCGGAGTGATCTTTGGCGTCGACTACGGACGCTTCCATGAGGCGGCTCTGAAGTATAATGCCAATAGTATTAATGCCGGTACCATCGATCCCATGGCTGCCACCTTGATGGCCGGCGGAGTGGCCGCCATTTCCATGATGATCATCTCCTTCAAGGGATTCGTTCTGTGGTTCATCAACTTCGGGCTGCTCGTGTATCTGCTCATGAGAGCCACTCGCATTGCCACCGATAAGGATGGTGTGGTAAGTGCTGGTCGGTAGTCGGCGGTGGGGGTCAGTGGGTGAGCTCATCGCCCACTTATGCTGGCTGGCGTTGTCTTCTTCGATTCCATAAATTTCCGCCACTGTCTGTGAAAATATTCGAGCAACGCAGAAAGTAAAATTCGACTACGACATGGCTAAACTTAGCATTTTGTCGCAATTAACTCAATGTGGTGGTGGTAACTGATAAGCTGCCTCGCAAAGGCGTTCGGTAATTGGCCTCAGGTTGCCCTGATAGCGGTTCTCTCGGATTTTTAGGCTCTTTCAATAAAAACCATAAAAATTATTATTAACTGGGCTCTAAGTGCGAGGGTTCTCTCTCAGGACAGTTCGCTTGAACTTAAATCTCAATCCTAAATCAAACTTAAACTTTTTTGAATTTCAAATAGTTAAATCAATAGTTAAAAATAATTAAATTTTTTCATGTAACAAATAAGAAATAATTTAAAATCAACAAATTTCTTATTAATTTTAATGTTTTGAATTTCATTAAACCCAAATGATTTATGCTATCTTGGGCATTCAAAATTTGGGTTTAATTATTAAATATAAGTAGTTATTGAAAATATTTATAATTAATGATTTTAAATAATATAGATATGCATTATACCCAAATTTTCAGGCTATCTTGGGCATACTTATAATTAATATTATAATTAATACCCTTTCTTTCACAGGATACTTTGTTCAATCCTCGCAAGGATTCCAATGATATTCTGACCACCCGGGCGCCGATTCGCGCCTACGAGGAAGAGAAGTAAGTATTAAAATATTTATGTTATATTACCAATCTAATTCCCAATCTTTATCGATAGGGTGGAGGTCCAGGCGTATAACAATGCCGCCTACGTTCCGGATAACCGCTCCATTGCGGAGACCATCGAGGTGAACGAAGGCGCCATTGTGCGGGCGGCGCACATGTCGATGGACTCGAATCTGATGGACCGCCGATTCCGGGACATCAACGCCTTCCAGCAATATCCGGCCCCCAATCCGCAGGCGAGTCGTCCGTTGCGCCAACAGTCGCAGGTTCCGGTGCAGGAGACCATTGTGGTGGCCACCTCGGGATTCCCCATGCCCGACTACTCGCCACAGCCCAGTCCGAATGGAATTCTGCGCCCCCACCAGTACTGAGTACTGAGTACTAAGCCCATTGGCGCCCCTCCGAAAAGCCCTCTTCCATATTATAATTCTCAAATAATCCCCCAAGTGACAGCTAAAGTTTAGTTCAAATTTTATCAGCGTGGACAATTGTTCTGCTTGGTTATTCTTATTTATTTGCATGTTTATAACAAAATAAGTGTACAGTTGTAAATAAATGAAACCGTTATAGTTATTTGCACCACCACTGGGATGGTATTTGTTTATATGGTAATTTTGATTATTTCATGGAGGTGATAAGGAGAGCGGGTCGCCGATTAAGACGGAAAACGGCCCCCAGCAACGATTTTATTGGGAAGAGATAACGAATACGGGATGAGAGTATCGGAAGGTAGCTTAAAAATGAGATGGTTACTCTATACTTTCGGGGGAATAAAGATCTGATTTTATTTTTAATTTTCCCAACATTCATTTTTATATAAAAAAAAATTATTTAAGGTATTTATTGCAGTGCTAGCTTTTTTTTATTTTAGTTTTGTTTAATTTTTAATAAAATGTGTTCTATTTGTTTTAAGAGAAGATAAATCATTTTAACTAGGACAGTTTAATTTCCATTTTTCAAATGACCCGCTCGATTGCAGGGTAGTGCGATAACGATTGTTATCGATAGGCAGGCGTTTTGGCGTTTTAAAGTGCCTTCTACGCCGTTTCCTTGGGTCAACAAAAGTTCACAAAATATTCTGATTTCTGATAAGCCGCCAATATTCGACTTTCATCTCGGGTGCCGGGCACTAAACGTAGCGTGTGTGTTTTGAATCCGATCATTTGTCACCGAATCACCCCCGGGAACGGTTGGAAAACTCACTTCGCCGGCAGTTGCCTTTTATTTGGACTGGGAAAATATGGTTTTCATCGCGAAATTCGCAAGGATTGGCCTGCTGGCCGCCCGCCAGCTGAGCGCCACGCCCCTAGCCGCCGTCCAGGGGCGCGCCTTCCACCTGACCAGCCTCCTCGACGCAGGTAATACCCAGTAATCCGCGCTGTTTATGCAATACCCACTGAATGTCAAACTGTAATCCCCGCCAGAACGTCGCTACACAAACAAACACGAGTGGGTGGAGCTGGTTTCCGGCAACAGCGCCATCGTGGGCATCTCCAGTTACGCCCAGGAGGCTCTCGGGGATGTGGTCTTTGCCCAGTTGCCGGAACCTGGCACGGAACTCAAGCAGGATGACGAATGTGGGGCTCTGGAGAGCGTGAAGGCGGCCAGCGAGGTGTATTCCCCCGTAACTGGCAAGGTGACGGAGAAGAACGCCCAGGTGGAGGACACACCGGCCCTGGTCAACAGTAGCTGCTATGAGAAGGGTAAGATCTTGGTTAAAACCCCCTATTCTTATCAGTATAATGACATATTTCCCCCTTTTACAGGCTGGCTCTTCAAGGTGGACCTCAAGAACCCCCAGGAACTCGATGCCCTCATGTCCGAGGAGCAGTACAAAACCTTCGTCAGCAGCAGCGGCGATCACTAGAGCGGCTAGCCTTTAAAACCAAACGATCTAGCATTTGTTATCAGCTTAAAACACTCATACCCGAAAATCACCAACCATACACACACGTTGTTGTAGCTCTGAACATTGTTACGAATAAGAATCAACAGTAAAGCCAAATATTATATATTTAAATTGGGCATCTTGACCTGCGGGTGGCAGACGCCGTCTGCTCCCCCATGGAAACCTTCTAGGCGATAAGAAATGAAGAGAAACGGGCAGAGAACGTTGCTACAAGATAACAACTCACTCAACGAAATATTAAGAGAGTCGTCAAACCTAAAAAACACTCAATTTCATAATACTACGGATCGGATCGGATCAGCTTGGAGCGGCGTGCTTGGTTGGTTTTTGGAAAACAACTGTTGCCGGGACAGACGATGGCGCACGCCACGGCATCCAGCCATCACCTGATTGACGATGGACCGATGACACACCTACCAGCTCTCTGGAAAGTTACGCCGTGCTTGGGCGATAAGGATGTGCCAAGTCGCGCCTTGGAATAACATAATGCCCGATCTAGACGATAAGCCCTCCGGAAAGCGCCGCCCATGTCCCATTGAACTTGAAGAGCGTGTTCAGGGAAGCTTTGCCAACCGAAAGCTATACCCACAGAGGCGAAAAGCTTGGCTATAGCTCACTCGAATGGTCAGTGCTCAAAAAGAACTCATTCCGTGCGGTGCGAGAAGCGCGTGCTGCTCGAAAACCAACCCCAAAAATAATAAAAACAATCTAAGCTAAGGATAACTGCAAAACAGGATAATTACAGACCTCGAAAAAAAGAAAATAATTCAAGGAAATATACATACAAATCAAAAACAAAATGCCAGCGGAAAAATCAATATACGATCCGAATCCGGCCATCAGTCAAAATGCCTACATATCCAGCTTCGAGGAGTACCAGAAGTTCTACCAGGAGTCGCTGGACAATCCGGCCGAGTTCTGGTCCCGTGTGGCCAAGCAGTTCCACTGGGAGACGCCCGCCGATCCGGAGAAGTTCCTCAAGTACAACTTCAACATCTCCAAGGGACCCATTTCGATCAAGTGGATGGAGGGCGCGTCCACCAATCTGTGCTACAATCTCCTGGATCGCAACGTTAGGAACGGACTGGGCGACCAAATCGCCTATTACTGGTGAGTCTGGCCTTGGTAATCCTCGCCCACTTTCCCGCTGGGTGGCGTAGGTCGCATGAAAACAAAAGTGCAGGATTATTGATTTTTCGTGTGGTTACGAAACTCTCGCCTTGTGACGTCGGAAGGTGGGTTCCTCGCAGGAGAGGATTTACTGCGCAGGCACCGCATTCGAAACAGATGATAGCACTCCTTTTATATATAATATATCTAAAAGGATGCCACTCAAGGGCAGGCATCCTACCTTTTGACATCGATTTTGGGCAGGAGCTTTTCCCTTGTTTTTTTGCCTAGCTAATTGAAGCTATTATTTTTGTTTTGATTGCAAACAATTGGGTTTAATCGTCTGCATGGCAAATGTGACAGTGAGTCTAACGACCCACGATTAATTCAATTTTGGGTGCTTTTTTTTTGGATTACTAACTACGGATTTGCTAAACACTCTGGGTCAATGTCAGGGTCACTCTTCGTTCCTCGAGACGACCCTCATAAGAGGGTGACCCGGCCAAGTTTACGCTTGGTATTTCTTTGTTTATTTATTCAGTTAAAATCGATTAACAATTAAACCGGTTAGGGGAAAATTGTGCTTAAAGGCAAAGGTATTTTTGTTATTACTTGGCATTTGAGATATATTTTATTTAAACTGTAGCCGTTAGTGTTATTAAGAATGTTATTTCTTTTTATCAAAAATTCGAAAAAAAATGTTTTTTACATTTAAATTTAATTTAATTTGGAAAGATTCTTCATAAGTATTAAATTAAACTGTTTTTTGTCAAGATTTCTTTATATCCTTTTTGTATTATATTGCCTTTGTTCTTAAATATAAAATCTTAAATATATAACTCCTGTAAAGTTCAATATCCCTTACTCTATCTGCCTTATCTAAAGTCCGTTCCTAACTTATTTCCATCGCATTTGTTTGTTCCTCCACACGAGACACTCGTTCGTAACGAAAAGTTAACAATGAAAGTAAATATTAAATAGTGGCTTCACCTACTATATAATATGTAAGTTCTGCCCACTATAAAACTACATACTTCGTTGATTACGATTAAACAACAGACACTCCTTTGAGCTGATTAGCTACCGAGGAACCCAGTACTATATATTATCATATGAGGTTCTCAAGTGCCCACTCAGAACGCAATTAAATTGAATAGCCTGGATGAAATAAGTATTTTGTTTTGGTTGCGCGAGAAGATTCGCTTTATTTTGAGACCCAAAGTTCACCGAGCAATGCGTCAGGGCGAAAAAAAAGGAAAAAAGGCACAATGTTAAACAAATGTTAATGCTAATGAGCTTATCTCGGGGTTATCACTTAGAGGGCGGGTTAGGGGGCGGGGCGCGTGCGCCGGAGGAAATGCAAATGAAAGTCAGGTAATTGAAAGGCAATTACAAGGTCATTCCCACTCAGCCTCAAAGTTACGAGGGCCCATCACTGCTATTCTGGGCTATTTCCCACTTTTGTGGGAATTATTTAATCCCAGCCCACAATCTGTCTGTCCTCACTTTCCTCAGATAAGATAAAGAGTGGGACACGAACCGAAAAAGACAGAAAAAACCGTGCACGTAATGAGTAATAATTAACGCTTTTCGAACGGCCGTTTCAGATAATTTTATTGCAAACCAAAGCAAAACAAAATCTTAGAATTTATATGCCCAATTTTTACGGCATAGATAGGGGTTGCGAAACGGAAAAGTTGTTGAAAAGATCATTAATTTGTTTTTAGATTGTACAACATCTGGAAATCTTGTTCTTTAAGACCTTAAAATATACTTGTTTTATTTTTATTTCACGTAATACCAATTGAATCCTTTAAAAAAAAATTTTGAACAAGATTTTATAATTTTTTTTTAAGTTTTTATTTTAAACCGTTTCAAACCGATACCGAAATAACCGTTTCGAACTCAACCGATTTACGCAAACTGTTTTCAATTTCCAGACTCGTTAGCAACTAAATTAAGTCGAATTAAACACACGAAAGCCCGAGCGAAAGCCCAGCAATATTATGTAAGCGATTTGACAATGCGCGCAAATTGTTTATTCAAATTTGATGGAAGCGCGTCTTTGCGTTAAACGATTTGCTATTTTTTCGAACGTTTCTTTTCTTTCGGTTTGGGTTTCTGTGTCAGCGTGGCGGCGTCTGGGCAAAAGGTGGAGGAAAAAGTAGAATAAACAAAATGTAAGGAAATCGAGTAAAAGTCCCCAAAAACATAATATTGCAAAATTTCCAGTAACAGTTAACAGTTTTAGCTGCACTGGGCGTCTAGAAAATCACGCGATCACATCGTCTGATTCACTCACAACCAATTAGAGAGCCACTCCGCTCCACTCACGCACCCGCAGACAGACAAGGACAGAGATAATAGAGAGAAAATAAATATATATAAAAAAAAGAATGGTCTTACCTGCGAAAGAAAGAGCGACAAAAAACCAACATACAAATAATGCTGCTTAGGCATTTCTTGACTTTTTCGCCCTTCTTATCAGTTTTTCCACACAAACAGGTTGCCAAGCCCTTCTCTATAAATTATGTAAACTTTGCTGCCTTCTTTCAAATTGAAGATCCACAGAACCGTTAAAAACCAATGAACGATCATTAGATAAATATTGGGGATCAGCATCGTACGATAATGTCTCTCAAACTGTAGGGCCCAGCCAGACACAGAGACGCGAAAGAAAGAGACGGAAGAAAGGCACTGTAAAAAATTTAGATTTAGAAGAAGTATTCCTTTTTTTTATATTCAACGTACTTTTATTTATTGCTCATTATTTTTTCATACAACAAATTTTCATTTAAAGTGTATGGAATGTTTTATTTAAACTTTAAAACTTTTTTGAAACAATTTTCAAAAATTGTAATTGGAAAATACTGTATAGATTCTTTTATCTATTAACTACCCTGCAGGAAAAATGCGAACTAGTCTGAAAAACAACTAGTAATACAACTAAAATAAAGCAACCGGAATTTGTCTGAATGCATTTGGACTACACAGGGTCTAGAAAATTTGTGCTAGTCGAAAAAATGATTAATACAAAACTAGTAAAAAATAAACTAATAAAATAGACTAGTACCTTTCTGACAAAAAAAACCTTAAAAATATTTAACTGGTAGAACAAATACATGTTAGGGTCTAGTTAAAAGGCAACTGGAATTTAACTAGTTGCAAATGAAACACATATGATCCAAAAATATAGCCTAGAGTGTAAATGTCTTGGGAAATTTAACACTAAACAAATCAAACACTCGAGGTCCTCGGTTCAATCCCCAGTCTCTGTACATTTTTTTTTGTTTTTTGTTTGCTAGGTGATGCTTTAGTTTGTAAAAAATGTAAAAATGTGTAAAAAATCGCTGTTTTTGAATTATGTCACACTAAAATTCATAAACCTTGTTAGGGCAATACAAAATGTGATGCGTGTATGGCTCAATCAGTTAGTGTGTCTACAAATCCAAAGGTCCCGGGTTCAAGTCCTCGAGAGGGCGACTTGCCTCAAAAAAAGTAAGTTTGTTTTAATTCCATTTAATTATCATTTACTGTATTTGATTACATAATAATTATTAGAAATTCTCTAAGGACCGCGACTATTGATTGGATACTAAATTAGGAGAGCATCAAGTTTGGCATCGTCAAGTACTAGTGAAATTCAATCACTTGTTGGTTTCGAGATTAATTTTTATTTTTTTCGTGAAAATATTTTTTTCAGTGTAGTTTAACAGCTGTAACCGTAAATTGGTTAACAGTAACTATTGCAAAACTAGTAGCAAATGGACTAGTTGTTTCCGACGACAAGCATATGAAAAATGGACCACTTCGTTACAATGAAATGGACATAACTTGAACTAGTTAACCTTCTTGACCCAACTAGTATTTTAATAGTCCAAAACTGATTCCGTTTCCTGCAGGGTATTTTGGAATTATTTGGAAGTAATAACCCAACGATATATGGTGTAA